ACAAGGCCAGACGAGCCGGACGAGGAGAGGTCGGGCTCAAGCGACCGGAGTGTTCGAGGGCGAGGAACTCCAGGAGTTCAGTTTTGGGGGGTTCCGATAAGTAGATCTCCCGGAAATCAATGACTGTGTTGGGGTGCTGGGCAAGAATGACATCGCGGGCGATGTTGGTCTCCTCCTCGGAGAGGATGGCCAACGGATGGGGAGTAAAGACCATGATGTGAGTTATGTGTGATGAAGAAGACGGAAGAGAGTGAGTGTGAGAAGAGGAAGCGAAAGGGAAGCTCGAGACAGCAGAGAATGCGGGGAAGCTGGAGGGATTTATGAATTGTAGGAGTACTTCTGGTCGGCGCATCTCCTTCCCAGTTCGGAACCCGCTGTGAGACCTTCAGTGCAGTTGAAATGCAGTACTAGGTACTCCACTTGCACTGCACTGCATCGGAACCTCGGAAATGGCGGAATGACAGCCAATAGTCCGCGGAACCGCACCGTGCTATACTGACTGGTCCGATGTCGCCTGGCAAAGGCGATAAGCGAACAACCGCAGACGATAAGATATGCAATGCACCGCGCAACTTTGTCCCCTTCCGGTCAAGTGGCAAGTGGCGCGCGGTGCGATAAGTTCTTACTCCCCTCCCTTGCTGATTATCCCCTCGAAATTGGTCAATTCGTCGGACAAATTGATTGATTAGTGTGCGGTAGGTATCAAATTAAATTATCGTAAGATGTACATGTGCAGTGCTGAGGTATCAGTTCATATTTACATTCGTCAAAGCCGTGAGAAACCCCATCCCAGAAATGTCCCAACGCCGTTGCCTCCCTGATAAGACTCTCCCCACCATTCAAAACTTGCGTGTCGTGCTTGGCTTCACCCACAGTGGCCTCTCGCACTGATGGGTATTGCGCCAGTGCTGGATCTTCTCCAGGTCCCATCCCGAGGACAGCCGGGTGTTGGCGTCCCCCAACAACTTCTTCGCCCCCAGTCGCACAGTCCGCACGAAGACGCAGTGTCCGGTCGAGTCATACGTGAAGCTGAGACAGTCCGGGTGATCGTGGCACGCAGCCCGACACGCATCGAAGGAGGCATGGCCGGGGGACTCGGGAGGCTCCTGCCAGCCACCCCAATCTCCGTTATCCCAGTCGAGACGTTCATCGAAGGTGCCCAGTTTCAGGTACTCGAGCAAGTCGGCATACAGGAGAGGTTCCTTTCAGGCAGAGATTAGCCAAGATCTCAATCGGGAAGGAGGCGCATACGTACACTGCGATCGCGTTGATTTTCAAAGTGCATCAACCCAGCCATGTCCGAAATCAGGGTCTTGTGCATGCTGATGACGGGCTGGCACCAGTGCACATCATCGAACGGAATGCCATGCAACGGATGGGGGTTGAACATGGGCCAGAATCCCGAGAGCTCGACACCCTTCTCGTGCAGAGCCCAGCCGAGGATCGAATCCCCACAACAGTCCGCCTTGACCAGATCTTCATATTGCTCGCTGAGGGGCGGCTGCGTATACTCTCCGTGTGCTCCAGTCTCTCGTGCCACCAATTTCTTCACCGCCGCCGTGGAAAGCACGAAGCCGGATCCGCCGTAGGCGAAGTAGGAGATTTCGTCGTGGTCCAGTGGTCGGCCTGGGGACGGGGATCCCATATACAACGGAACGGAGGGGTTGAATTGGTCGAGCAGACGGAACATGTTGTCCCAGACGACATAGGTGTCGGATTCAATGAAGACAAACCAGTCGGCGGTCGGGTTGATCTCATGCGCCCGCTCCACCATGGGCAGGAACTTGAACCGGTCGAGTCGCCACCCCTGGGGACCAGCCACCGACTTCAGTCTGCCATTCTGCAGTGTATCGTACGCCTCAAAGTCGGACACGTTCGCTCGGAAGGACTCGGGTAACGTGGCCAACACGTCGTGCACATGGTGGCCTTGCAGCTCCGACTCCCGGTCGGAAACCACAATCAGGTTGGAAATGCACCGCGTGACGGTCGACAAATGAGCGTTAACGCGGTCCTGCGGCTCCGAAGCGCCAATCTTCAGGACGATCTGAATGCGCGGGAGCAGATAGGTCGGGAACGAATCGCAGATATGGTCGTCGTCGACTTTGTAATTCTGTGTGCGCGAGAAGCGTGTTGTAGTCTCCCAATCCCAGTATCCAGGCTCTTTGTGATGACGATCCAGGCGATAGAGCGATCTCGGGTCGAAGGGACCGTTTCCCAGCTCGACTTTGAAAATGGAGGCGCCAATGACGAAGAGTAGGATCAGCGCGAGGAGGTTGGCGGGTTTGCGGGCAAACATTGTCGGGTAAGGGCGCCGTCGGTGGCCGGTTTCTCGCCCCATGGCGAGATTTGTGTTTATGTTCCGGGACGAGCGCGGGGAAGAGGTGCTGATTAGATTTTAGGACTCGCTAATAATGCTCGAAGATGTCAGGAAGACATGGCAGTGCAAGAAGTCAAGGCAGCCCAGGGTGAATGCGACGATCGAGTGGAGACGGGCTGCGGCGCTGAAAAATGACGACAGTCGGAAAAGAAAGGCGGGCCAGTCCCAAAGCGAACGGAAAGTGATAGGCGGGCAGGCAAGCGATGGGCAGGCGATGGGCAGGCGATGGGAGAGAGTTTATGTTCTCTCTCCAACGCGGCCCAGAGGCGTTGATAGTGGAGAGGGGGAGGACCCTGGGTCAGTCTGGTCCCAGCCGGTAATGAAGGTTAATATCAAGTTATCAACAAAGAGATCCACCCGGGCTGAAGTCCGGCAAACCGCGTGGCAAACCAGAGTTGCTGAACTGCTGCCATTTCCACGCTATATTCAGTCGACTTATGGATATCGGGGATAGTTTCGTGCTTGCTTGTGTCTGGTGATGACCAGGCGCCCCCCAGATATGAGCTGGTTGAATGTATGGCGGGAAGCTAGATGATGGTGCGTTGGTGTGAGTGGATGGTGGCTGATGATGATGATGGAAGACAACAGCCGGTGGAAGACGGCAGAAACCCACCGCCAGGTCAAGGTCGATCGGTGCAGAGCCAAGCATATACATTGATTGGCTGGCTAGCATCCACCGGTAGAGCCACTTTTCTGTTGGCGGCCAATCTCTAGCGGTCTGCAATCTGAAGGTGAGATTGCGACAATCGCAAATGACGAATTCCTGGCTTGTCGCTTCCATGGTTCGTCCATGGTTCAACCCCAGTCAAGGGGCTTTTCGGTTGGCAACTTGGAGACCTGCACCATCCCATGATTGTATCGTCATTGTTATCTTCTGCTTAGAACTGATCCTATCCATGATGGCAATTTTCAGTTCCTCCCCAGAAAATCCCCCAACTGCCACCGTTCACCCTGAATGGCGCTTTCAACGTTCACAACTGAACAAACCATCATGCGGAAAGGGGGTCATGGCAAGCAAATTGAGGTGATAAGATTGCAGGGGAGGCCGACGCGATCTGGATCCGCATCGAACAATCCCTGCCTTAGTCAGTGCCTGCTGTCACTTCCAATTCTGGGCCTCCTTTCCGAACGAGCGAGCCTAATTAATTTATTCTTAGATCACTGCCTGCAACCTTCGTTTCCCTCCAGTTCCACCTGTCTCTCCCTACAACGGGAAAACCCCTCCCAATCCCCCTTCCCATCGACCTCCCGCGTTGCAGAAAGGTGGAGAATGAAACAGTCTCTGTCTGAAGCAATGAGCATCGCACTGAGCAAAGGGAAAAAAAAAGTGGGACACAAGTTAGAGATCTGACATATCCAGTACTTGTTCTTAAGTAGAAGGATGATATATCGACAGTCCCCGCCGGAGGCAAGAAGAAAAAACCCCCACGGGTCTCAATTACCCCTTTTTCGTCCCAGAATGACCGTCTATGCCCGGAGCATCTAGCTCATTGCTGCATCCAATCCGCAACCGCTCTGATACAGTACTATTCCTTTTGTGACTAGAAGTAATCTCTACGCAATTCAAGGTCTCCTCGAAATAACTCTGGCGTGGCGCAACACAGAAGACAGTGTCGTGGTTTGAAAGCCATCGCCCTTCAGACCTCTTGTCAGTAACTAAGGTTGTTGAACTAGAAGTGAAAGATGTACCGTACATACCTTCTGTCCATGATGTTCTCGAATGCCCTGTCCGATGGGTTTGATCAATTAGATGGTGGAAGTCGGTGGTGCGCCAGGTGGAATTGCGCGAGCCATACAAAGCCATTGGACGGTCGCATTTCAACTGCTAGCGCATAAGAGCCTCCGCCTAAACCCGACCAGACGCTCGTAAGCACTAAAGGTAGGAAGTGCGCAGGAAGTCCGCGCTGTCTGCACCGACAGTCGGGGTAGTACCCAAGTTGGGTCCGCGGGAAGAAACATTCGACCAAGTCAGCGCACGCTGGCCACGTTGTAGCAAACACTGACAACCACCCAAAGGCACCGGTCGGATGCGTAGTAAGAGATTTTGGTAGGCTCTCGAGGCCTCACTGGCTTTCCGGCGGTGGCCGGAAGTTGAGTGTTGTTGCGCGACTAGGCAAAAAACCGCACCGCACTAGAGAGCAGCACACCGCGATCCCGCCATCAATCCTTTTCCAGTAAGCGCCTGGTCGGACAAACGTTGGACTGACTCCGCAAAGCAGGAGAACAAACGCCGAGAATCCGCGCACTCCGACACCCCGACGAGCGAAAGTCAGTGGTCGAGGGACGACTCGGATCCCGTGTATCCTTAGATCGCAAGCTCGTCAAGGTAGACATCCTGTTGTTCTTATCTCTAAGATACCGGTAATTTCGCAGAGGAGGAGATATGAAAGCTTGGAACTTTGGAATTCTGCGAAGTCAACGACGGAGACGCTTAAAAGTCGTCAATTGCTGACAGCTAGGGGCAGAATTGGCCCCCAACATGCCAGACATCAACTGGAACCACCCTCCTTCCGGTGCTATGTTGCTCAAGGATTATGGTCGTGAGTTGCTGTGAAAAGAAAATCCACATCCTGAGTTGGGGGATAGCGAGCCGCTAGATCTGCTTTGGCTTCGGATTCATCTCGCGACCAGACACTCGAAACCGAGAGGAAAGATATGCTGTGGTCAAGATAGTAGCTAAGAGAGCTAGCTGTTAGCGGGACTGGTTGGATTGCCACTTCCATTGGAGAGCCAGGTGAGCGCAAGAAATCGATCATACGTCGCTAGGCAATCGGTCGGCGTGGCTAGTTTTAGCGGCCGCAGCGCAGAACTGGAGTTCAGTTCTCGAGGGTTTGTAGAATGAAGTCGGTGCTTTAGCTCTATACGGTCTTCGAATAGCCTCAGCTGTCCGTCTCATCGACGGTGGCTTGATTGTCATTGCGGATAGAATTCTTGCTCCTGACGCTGCTGAACGGCGTTCCAGAGATCCCGAGCCATCGTGTCTGCTGGCCGGTAAATGAAACAGAAGCCTTCCAGCAGGACCAATGCGGCATCCCAGTTGTACACGGCCAGTTGGCCGGCGGTGATGGAGAGGTAGGTCTTGAACCATGCGGATGTTTGGTGGCCCATTGAGGCGAGGCCTCCCACAAACAGAATCCAAAATAGGAGATCCGGCGCCGTTCTCTGCAGGAGGTGGAGTGTCGTGTACAGACTGTGTTGTAGCTCTTCAGACACGAATTTCATGCATGGCAACCCTTGAAAGGTCCAAAGTCGCAGAGCAAGGTAGATCCGCATCGCAATGCGCAGCGTATCCTGAAAGTCCGACGGGGTGAGAACGTAGGTCGTGGCGAGAAGCTCATATGCAGTCAGGAGGGCGAAGTTGTTCTCCGATGATTTTGACAAGGATGACTGCGCGTAGTTGTAGTGCACCATCAATTGTCGAAAGTGTTGGAGAAGGAGCCTGAGGCTGGGGTCCAGTCCCGCAGACCAGGGCGAGGCGAAGAAACGGTGACCAAAGTACGAGTGGTCTCGAAAATCCTCCTCGGACTTGACAGCGAAGACCTCTTGAAGAACTCTCTGCTTCCATTCTTCGGACATGGGGAACGCTGGTTCCGAGCTGGTGAGAAGTCCATACACATGTACCGCACTGGAGTCGGGTAGAGTCAGCAATACGGTCAGGTTCCACAACAGGAAGCCTTACGAATAAAAAAGCGAGACCATCGCATGGTCCAGGCCCTCAATACCACCAAGTAGATCGACCAGTCTCTTGAGCCCTTGAACATGAGCGTCTGCAGCCTGTTGGTTTCCGTCGGCCGCCTAGATAACTAAGAATCAGCAGCGTTCCGGATAAGGGTCATCAAGACTGACCTCAACACATATTAATGGGGCCACGACAAACGCGGTCGTCTCCAGAGCAGCAGTTTCCGACTCGTTCAGTATCTGGCGCACAAACTCATATGCCTTGACGCGAAAGAGAAGGGCGTGCTGGGTGGACTGCTGGGCGGCTACCGAGACGCCGCCTGCAATCGTTTCAGACGCGGACTTGTGGATGGCACTGGTGGTGAGAAGGATGAACAGGAATGCGGGCTGATTCATGGCCTGTTGCCACCACCAGAGACATAACTCCTCTGAACCAAAAGGAAAACATGTGCGTGCACAAGAAGTGGAGACTTGCGGTAGTTAGGAAACCTCCATTCCATTTAGCGTGGGAGCAGGAGACATACAGTGGTAGAAGTACGGTTGCAGACTGTCGCGCAAGGAGACCGGGAGCGACAAAATGGCATCCAGACTCCTTCCTTGCAGGGTTGGTTTCAGAAAGGTATCGTAAGGTAGACGAAGAGAGAGCAGAGCCTTGTCATCCGAGGCGGGAGTGGAAGAGTCGCTCAAGTCGGAGGTGGCGGGCGATATCGGTGGGCCTGACTGGAAGCGCGGCAGGGTGACTGTTAACTTCTGCATGGATTCCTCGGATGGGGACTGAGAATCTTCGTTTTTGATGAAGACGGGTTGCTCCTGACCCTGGGGAAGAAGTTGCGGTTTGTCTACATGATCCACTAAGAGGAAGGGTGGCGGTTGTTGCTGATGGGGATAGAGAGGCAGATAGTAGGGAGGAGGTGGCCTTTGGCCGATGGTCTGCTGAGGCTGAGTAGCCGGAGTCGCAGAGGATGAAGCAGGCGGAGGGGATAGATGGCTCCCATCCATGATTTGTTGGCAAGGGAGGCTGTGAACAAAGTCCATCAGTCCGTCAGTCCGTCAGTCCATCAATCAATCCCTTCAAGCATCTAAGAAGGCCTGCCATCGTTCGTTGCTTTCTTTTTTCCTTTGCTTATCTTGCACCACGTGACTACTCATCATACCGTACCATACCAGATCGAGGCAGATTGGGGCGGGGTTCGTTGTAGGTTAACTAGAGTTGCGAGTGCAGTGCAGTCAGTCAGTCAGTCAGTCAGTCAGTCAGCCAGTAAGTAACGTTACGGAGTGTTCGGACTGGAGTTGGAATCGTCCGGCCCGTTCCTCACCTTCACCCGCCAACTGTGCCCGGCGCCCGCAGTGACAGTGCTCAGTTCCACTTCCCTTTCCCTTTCCCTTTCCCTCTCCCTCTCCCTCTCCCCTCTTTTTCCTTCTCCCTTCCCTCTCTCTTCTACCCTCTTCCATCCATCACCCCATGCATGGTCCGTGGGTAAACTAGCGTTCATCGCTAACAGCCGTTAATACTCATTTCCAAGACCTAGCCTATCTGATAACTTACATCATGGACGTGCGGAATCCGATCTCCATCTCCTCGGCTACCGCCATGCCCACGTGGGGAATCGCGGTTTGGGAGTGGCAGCTCACTATCGATCCCCGCAACGCGCGCAACCTCCACCCTCAGAATCCGACCCCTTGGTGAATTCCCTCGCCAACAGCCGCCTGGTGAAGGGCTCTGAGGGACTCTGGTGGACGTGCTATAAAAAGCTACCATTTGCGCCCGTATCGACGGCGTGGCCATGTCTATCAGCATTTATGAAGGACTCAGCGACATGATCTCCCTTCTGTTTACCCTCTTGACCTCCTCGGTCGCCGCGCGCGACACTTTTTATCCACCACTCAATCACACCACCTTCATAACCAATACCTCGCTGGGAACCTATGGGGGTATCTACTCCGCGCCCGCCGATCAGGCCAGTCCGCCGTCTGCTGAGGAGGTCTACAATTATTGCTCAATGCCTCACCCCCGCGCCGATACCTACACTTTACCACCTCCCATCGCCAATGGGTCCGTGTCTGGTCGCTTGGTCTACCTCGAATACTTGCAGCGACACCAACGCAGGACTCCCTACAATATTCTTCCGGGCGGCGAGGTTGGTGGCTCCACCTTGATACTTCTGGGTGCAGTAGTTAACTGACTCGGTGTAGAACCAAGCATACAACTGCAACAACGTGCAGCCCTTCCTCTATCTTGCGCCGACGTCTGGAAACCCCTCTCCACTCCCCGTATACGCGCAGTCATACTCCGATCCGACGAACCCGTTCTTGGACAGCTACGTCAATGGATCCTGCCAATATCCACAACTCACGGTCGGAGGCTTCTTGGACGGCTACCAACACGGTCGCGATCTTCGGGAAGTGTACCTGGAGCGATTGCAGCTCATCCCGTCGGCCCCAAACGAGGATAATGGCAGAAAGGTGTGGCTCCGCAGCAGTAGCTCCGCCCTGACGCAGGAATCTGCGGGCGGGGTGCTGAGAGGGATATGGCCGGATTACCATGGGTCCTTGCCGCTGCACCAGCAAGCATCCAGCATCGACACTGTCGACCAGGGGTTTTCTTGTTCCGCGCGGAGCGATCTGCTGTCCGCCATTGAGTCGACCCCCGTTTGGGAGGAGCATCTGTCGGTCACGGCGTCGCTTCGCACCAAGCTAGCCGACATGTTCGATGCCAACACTTCAAGCTGGACCTCCACCTTCGATCACTTTGCCGACAACTTCCAAGGCCGACTGTGCAACGGCTACCAACTACCATGTAGCCTTCAGGATGAGTCCCAATGCGTGACCCAACAGCAGGCGGACGAGGTTTTTCGGGCCGGTGACTGGGAGTGGAACTACTGGTGGAGACATAATGCCAACGCCACGCGGTACATTCAGCTTGTCGAGGGGCTGTTCATAGGCGAGATTGTGCAGCACCTGGAAGCGGTGGCCCAGGGCAGCTCAGCTCTGGTCTACAGACACAATTTCGTGCATGACGGGGACTTGGGGCCGGTGCTGGGTGCATTGGGGATCCGAGCGCTGCGCTGGCCGGGGATGGGATCGAACATCGCCATTGAGATCTGGTACGTTAGAGCATGATTCACAAACTAGCTTAGCTTGGATACCCGGGGCTGCAGCGAATGCTAACCATTAGAATAGGGAGACGGCCAACTCGGAGCATTACGCCCGCGTCTTGTACAGTGGGCGGGCTATCGAGACCATCCACGGCACGCTGGACTGGATCCCATTGGCCTCTTTGATTGAAATTTTGAGGCCGTTCATCCCTGACGACATCATCACCTTGTGCGAGGCAGTTTGACCGGCCATCCGATGTTCTTTATTCGCAGTTCTAGACGTCAAAAATGGTAGCAAGTGTATAGTTGAACAACAAAATTTACATGGTTTCATCTTCATTGTTCGTCATTTGTTAAACAGGAGACTTTCCCGGTTTGCTCTACGCGAGATCCTGTCCACTACTGACTCAAAGCCTCACTTGCGATGACTTGGTCCATCAACTTGCTATCATGTGGTCCGAGAATCGGCAATTCCTATACCGACAGGTCATTCCTGCAAATCAAACTACATGTACTGGACATACCCAAAGGATGTTCAGATCAAGAATCCTATATTTTCACCGACAAGACTCTTCAATTGTATAAACTGGGTCTCATTATTATTACCATCCATTACCCCAGGGATAACTCAAGACCATCATAAACACCATCAACATCAGGAAGTAGGTCATCACCACCCAAGTCAAACGCAATCAAACCCAGCGCTCCTCACCCACCCACCAACCGCGCACAACCCCGCCTCAACTGCGCCCAATGCTCCGCATGCAACGACCCATACAGAAAATACCCGCGGTCCTCGCGATCCTTACTCGTCAGGATCCAGTCATGGACACTCAGCCCGATAAACCCCCAGAGATCGATCAAGCCGACAGCCATGCTCGCGTAAAACGGCCTGGTCTCGGGCCCGCCGCCGAAGCAGAGACTGTACCACGGTAGCTGGGAAGACGATGAGACGAGAGTGTTCGGGTGGTTCGGGTGCCGCAGGGCCGGCCGGAAGGGCCGCCACGGTCCCATGGCTGTGTGAGCTTGGCGGAAGAGCTCCAGGCACTCCGGGGTGCGGACTGTTCTGACGGCGTCGCGGACGCAGGACGCTAGCATCAGGAGTCGATCGTCTTCATCATCCTCCTCCTCGTCGTCATCGCTATCGTCAAGCATGATGGGCTTGTTTGGCCGCGTCGGCAGAGGGATCGAGACTAGCCATGAGGTATTTTGGAGTTGCGCGGGTTGGTCGAGGTGTCTGCGGAAGTTGTAGACGAATGCGATCGCTGCCGGGTGCAGGTGGGGGTATGCTTGCAGAGCGGCCTGGGTATTTTGAATAAAACCATCGTGTCAGAAGTTGATCGCTCTGTGGAGGGAAGGGGGCAGCTTCGCACCTGAGCTATGATGGCCATGACGAGATCGTGTCGCGTCACCGCGAGCCCCTGCTGGGCTGCACGATCGTGCAGGCGATCGACCGCCGCACCGGGGATGTGCATGGTGCGACGCGCACGAGGCTTGTATGCAAAGGTGGCGCGGACCAGCCAGTGCCAGAGGGCAAAGATGATATTGCCCAGCCATCCGGAGGCCCAGTGCTGGGTTGTCGACTCGTGCAGCCGGCTCCCGAGCGGTTCATGCGTGTAGAGCGCACTGCTCGTCTCCTTGGGGGGCTTGAATACGATCTTGTTCGGTCGCGGTTCTTCCACGATTGGGTCGATGGTCTCGCCCCGCAGGATTGCGGTGTAGGCGGAGAGGATCCTGTAAAGACCTTCAGGGTTGATCGCAATATCAGCCTAGTAACATATCCCAGCGAGATAGTTCAAGTCGCGAACCTACCGCTTGTGTCGCTGAAGACATGCTGGAGAATAAACTTCAGAATACAGCCATCCCGAAAATGAAGCGCTTTCACCAGAAGAACCGGCGGGAACAACAGCGAGCGGAGCGACCAGCCGAACCGAAAGAGCTGCTCCAAGCGCGCGTATTCGGATGGCTCTAGCTCCTGCTCCGTCATCTGGTCGAGCGAGACACAGTCCCTTAGCGGTGCGTCTATCACTCGCGACTGCCAATGTCCCGCCGTGTCGGCTGATGGGCAGGACCCGGTCCACTGCAGGTTGACGCGGGCTCGAAGATCTGGCCACGCCATGAGGAGTCGCTGGAAGGCTTCTTCCAGCTGCGATGGGTCGAGCTTGGTCTGGAAAACAAATACTGCCTGGCATTGCAGGAAGCGACAGGTGGCGATGGCGACGGACGAGAACCTCATGATGAGGAGGATGCTGTGCTCAGTTGAGCTTGTTGGTGCATTGCGATGAAATCGCCACAATATAATGTGCAGACTGAGAACTGCTCATATACCACGCCTAGGCCGGCACGAGGACTCATCTTCAGCAGCGGGTGGGATCACAGGAGTCCAAAAGTTTGCAGATCATATGGAAAGGTCAAGATGTGTAACACCACACTCTCCGCAATGAAGCTGACATGTGCATCAGCCCATTGGCTTGTGATAGACCAATTCTTAATCTGCGCATTGCACATACTGGAATATATACAATGGGGGTTTTCTCGCATCAAACCTGTCAAGCACAAGCCGCAAACCCCTCCTCAAAAAACCCCCAAACCTCCTGTGGCAACGTCCGATATGCACCCAACCCACCCCCAACAACCAACTTCCTCAAACCAGCTTTCACATACCCCGGCACCTCCCAAACGTCCTCCGTCAACATCCCAACCTGCATCCCCACTCCCCAGATCCTCCGACAGTAGAACGCCAACCCAAACGGCTTCCCCGCCTGCAGAAACCCCTCGATCTGCGCGTCGACCGCCTCGATCGTCTCCGTCGCGCTCAGCGTGCGGGTCCCATGCCGCTCCGTCAGTGCGGCTGCGATCTCGTCACCGGTGGCGCGGAGCTCCGAGAGCGTGAGGGTGCGGTTTTTCAGCTGGTCGAGCGGGGTGGCGGCGAAGATGGACGCATATGCTGCTGCTACGTAGGCTCTTGTGCTGCTCGACCTAACCAGTCAGTCAAGCTGCAACGGGATCATTGCGCGCTACGATCGGGACAGACCAAAGATTCACAGCATGTGTGGTACTATCGCCTGTGAAGATGATTCTGTTGTTGGGGTAGTCGACGCCCATCGCCCTGTCGCTGTATCAGCTTCGTTGAAGACAGAAGGTAAGTGAGTACTATATTTGAAGAGCATACGGCGTCGCCAACGCAAACTCGGCAAAATTGCCCACCAGCACGATCGTCATCGGGATCCCCGCTGCCTGAGCTGCGAGTTCGACGGCTTTCTTGGCCTGGTTGACGGGGATGCGCAGGCCCTGGGCGTCGTAGCGGGCGGCTAGTTCGGAGGGGACGAAGAGCTGCACGGCTGTTTTGGGGATGGCGTTGACGAGGTGGTGTTGGCGGGGGACGCCTTCGTGGCCGACTAGAGATCTATAGCTGCTTCAGCTGTATACTTGGGTTTGGGTCGGGGTGCAGGCAGGACAGGGAGGGTGAACAGGCTGCAGTGTGGAAGTGCTCACATCACGATGTCAATATCCCCGAGGGCAGCAACTACCGCCGCTTCGTCGGACACATCTACCTCGACGGCGTGGACAAACTCGGGAAGGGTCGAGATGTCGGATCCCGGCCGGTAGAGAACCCTGATCGGGGCGCCGGAGGAGGCGAGCGCGTGCACGATGGCCGAGCTGGCCCAGCCACGGTGGCCGTAGATGGCAATGCGGCTGTAGGACATAACTATTATGGCCTGTTGTCAATATCGAGAATAAAATCTGGCATTTGTGTAGCAGGACCGATCCTTTATACTTGGTGCTGGACTCGCGCCATGTATAGATAGGCACGCGGTTTGACTTGTTTACACTGTTGGCACAGTTTGGTCGGTTTGACGGCTCCGCTTGGGCATGGCTCCTGTATTCTCATTGGACAGAACCGGCTTGGCATCGGGGGTGGGAGGGGGTTTGCCGTGTTTGCTCTGTATGCTGCCTCTATATCATCATGCACCCGTGACCGTGGACATAGATAGGGTTGTCTATATTCGGCAATACTTTTTGAAGGTCTGTTTGTCAGGGCTCTAAGGGTCATTCAAATCCCTTATCTAAGACGGGTCTACCTTAGGATCTCCGAAACATTACCTCGCACTCCAAGGTATTGCAAATATGTATCAGAGGCGCAAGAAGTCGTCGTTCGCCCCGCTATTTCCGAGGCAACTTCTCAACAACATCAATCCTGAGTGCTTGGGGAGTATACTGTTCCGGGGGAGAACCCCCGGACCCCCCTTTCTTTTCAGCTTCCCAATATAACTCAATGCTAAGTGCTGGGGAGTACACCGTTCCGGGGGAGAACCCCCGGACCCCCCTTCTCTTCAACTTCCCAGTACCGCAGCCCCAGTCCAGCACAATCTCAGAACCCACGCCCTCTACCTCCATAAGGACTGAGGTTGAGTTACACTAGAAAGCTGAAAAGAAAGGGGGGTCCGGGGGTTCTCCCCCGGAACGGTATATTCCCCCAGCACTTAGCATTAAGTTATACTGGGAAGCTGAAAAGAAAGGGGGGTCCGGGGGTTCTCCCCCGGAACGCTTACCAGCCGCCCATAAGCCGAGTAAGTGCCGCACACCTAAACCCGCTCCTGATTGCCCTCCCCGTCATCCACGGCCTTGCACCCGGTCCCATAGCCCCTCCACCCGGTCCCCGCCTGCGCGACCGCAGCAACAAGAATCAAGGCACAACTCCCCAAGAACAACCGCTGCAACGCAGCCTGATAGCTCCCCACGGCGACCGCCCTCTCCAGGCCACTCAACCCCTTCACCAACGCCGGACTGCCCACCAACTGCCGGACCAACTCCTTCTCCCTGTCCCCGCCGACCCCGTACTCCTTGAACCCCTCCACCAACCCGCGCCTCAACTCCCTGACAAAGAACCCCCCACCGATGGCGGAGCCAAAACTCCCCGCAAAGCCGCGGCTCATGCCCACCAACGCCCCGACCAGGTAATGCACCTCCGGCACGGTGAGATGCAGCAGATGCGAGAGGGTGTAGTTCAGGAGGGCGCCCACCGCGAGACCGTGAAGGAAGGTGGCCGCCACAAAGCCTGGGACCGGGGCGGTCGGGGTCGCGAGGAGGGCGAGGAGGAGCGCGGCCAGCGCGAAGAGGCTGTAGCCCAGCAGGCTGGAGAGGTAGTAGCTCTGCGATTGGCGGATGTGTAGCCACCCCGCTAGCACGCCGCCTAGGCCGAACCCCGCGTTCGTGGGGACCAGGATTAGTCCTGCCGAGGCGGGCGTCCAGTCGCGCACGACCATTGCGTAGACCGGGCTGTAGAAGAGGACGGCCCAGCGGGCCATCATCGTTAGGAGTCCGGCGAGGCAGGTGAGGAGCACGCTGCGCTGGCGGATGAGGTGCAGCGGGATGATGGGTTGCGTGGCGTAGTGGGATTCGATGGCTAGGAAGAGGGCGGTGGAGACCAGGAAGGCGAGGATCGGGGCGATTTGGATGGTTGAGGAGGCGAGGCTGGCGAGGAGGAGGGTCACGGAGAGGGTCTGCCTTCGTGAGGATTGCGTTGAGGATGGGGATGGCAGGCTTGGACTTACTAGGGTCAACGCGCCCGCGTAGTCGACCTGGGCGAGCTTGCGCAGCAGTGTGCGCCCGTCCTGCGCATCCTGCGCGGCCGCGGGTGGGACGGGGATGGCGAAGAACATGATCGGGGCGAGGAGGAGGGTGATCGGGGCTTGGATCCAGAAGATGAGACGCTGCGTTGCGGTTAGTAGCAGGAACCACTTCGCCACGAACGCATACCCACCCATCCGTAGACCGTGGTCAGTAGGCCCGAGAGAACGGCCCCGGACGCGATCCCCGTCGTCATGGCCGCGCTGATCAAGCCCAGGAACAGGCCCCTGCGCTTCTTGCTCGTCAGGTCCAGCGCCAGCACCAAGGCCGTCACGCTCTGGCCGCCCGCGCCACAGCCCGCGATGGCTCGTCCGACCAGAAACACGCTCAGATTCGGAGCCGCGGCGGTGACGAACAGACCCAACGCCAGCAGGCTCGAGGTGAAGAAGACGTAGACGCGGGGCGTGAAAATCTGACACAGTCGGCCGGAGAGCGGCGTGATGCTCGAGTAGGCGATCTGGTTGGTCAGCTCCGCATTGACCTGTAGTTGCACAGCTAGACATGAAGAAATACCAGGAACACGGAGCTGAACCATGTGGCCACGGAAAAGGCGTCGAACTCGGTGGCAATGGCCGATTGAGCGGTGGTCATCGCGGTGATTTGGGTGGCTGCTCGGTCAGCCTCTGTGTGTTCCCTGACAAACGAGTGTGTACTGTACCTTGAATAAACAACAGCAGACCCATGGCCACCATAATCGCCGAGCCCTGGAAGACAGTCACTGGGACGCGGGGCGCATCGGGCACATCGTCCAAACGGCCCAGAAGGGGCGTCTGTTCTGACGGTACGGGTTTCTGTTGAGTAGCGGCGGTCATTGTGATTCTTGTGGACGAAATTATCGGTCCATGAGCGGATTGCGCCTCCGGGACATTTTATCGGCGAGGGGCATCTATGATGTGATCTGCGGAGAAAAATGCGGGATGGGCGGATGGGGTCTGTACTGCGTGTAACGAATAAGCATGGTTAATTCGCCCAGCAGAAACAGGCAGAGCGCGTCGCCATATCCTGGCACCGATAAGTGATCGCCGTCCAATGGCAAACGCCCCGAGTCGCTCGGACATGTGTCCCTGGGGTCGGCCCAGGCCGAGAATTGGCAGAGGGCGTTGGAGGAGATAGCAGATCCGACGCATCCGCTTATCTGCCATCATTCTGACAGCTCAGAACCTTGCCGGGAGAGATGGCGAGTCAGCGTGCGTGAAATCATGCTGGTACTCAATATCACCAATGATGTCAGCGTTTTGTCATTTGATATGTCTGATGTCCGATCAGGTCTGGCTGGACCTTGGTGCATGGCAGTGGTGGAGAGCCTTGGCGCTGCGGAGAAGGTACTTTTGTGCAACCGGTGACTACACTAGATCCAGAGCGTGATCGAGCCGACTTCTGGGGTTGTCGGGTTGATAAAGACCCTGCAGCCCAGTGATCTCGTACGCGAGGAAGCAGTTGTAGGCAGGTCAGTCGAGTCTGATAAGGTGGTGGAAGGGTCAGAAGGGCGGCTTCCCGGCAGATGACTTGCTCTGGGATGCATCACCGCACATGACCAGGACATCCTAGGTATTAAAAGGCTGGGATTAGTACTAGAGAAAGACTGAAGATGCTCACACATATCCAGGAGCTCTGACATGATCATCAACATGAAGACGATTCTCATTTCCTTATCGTTGGTGGGTTGTATAATCTCAACTGCCGCTGCGAACGCCTTTAGCAGAACCAGTAAGCGCCCTTTTTCTGACGAGCGGCATCTGCTCACAATGCAGCCCTCATGCAAAGACCCGAAGACAAGCACCTCAATGCTTTTGACGCAGACCAGACCCCTATCGGAGGCCTGGAAGATTGTACGTCTCTTTCAGACCCCTTTATCCACGCAGTCGCAGATCCCACTGACCACTGGCCCCAGCCTGCTACGTATGCTCCTCGCCCTGCTCCTCGGCCGTCTGCTGCCACGGGCGATACCCCCAATGCTGCAGCGACGGCGTCTACTGCTACTGCTGTCGAGACTAGTTTCGCTGTCGAGGTTAAGATTCATATGTCACACAATAATAACAATAAGATTAATATCTCGGCCCTGCACGACCCCAGACCATGCTAGAAACACTCCCACCCCGTCAGCCCAGACTACACCGTACAGTACCTCGTAGCTACGCCCACTCCGGCTCCCCAAAGCGATCCACCGGCCCGAAGGCCTGGTACAAAGGATCTAGCCACCGATCCACGATCCACAGAAACCCATTCGCGGCCTCCACTTGCGTCACCAGCCCGGCATTCATCACGAAGACAGCCGCGTCCTCCTCCTCGCGGGTCACTGTGATATTCAGCCCGGTCACATCGCTGGCCACCGACAGCGAGCTCTTGCCCACGAGCGTGCGACTGTCGAACTGCTCGCCGCCGCTATCGACCCAGCCGTACTGCCACAGCAGCGTGTCGAAGGGGCTTTTATACGGCGAGACCAGCGTATCTTTACCACCACCATCATCAGCAATCATCGGCAGCATCCATCGCAGCATCCAGGAAAGTAAACTTACGAAACACAGGAAGAATGGTGGGCATCAACTCGAACGCCTCATTGCGCGGGACCACGAAGAACTGTTTTTCGGACGACTGTCGCGACAGCCGACGGATCGTGTCCGGGGAGTTGACCGACAGGATCTGCGAAGCATTAACCAGACGGGCGTCGGATTGCACGAACGCCCCGATGGTCAGATCGGTGGATTCGTACGACGGCGCCGTGGTGCGGTTGCTCGGTCCCCCGCCGTAGACCAGGAACGGGTCGACGAGCTGGTCGATCTCGTGGATCAGCCCGTTGTCCGCCGGGAGGTCGGCTTTGACGATCGCGGCTTGGTCGTCGAGGCGCACGGTCCCGTTTGCGGAGGTGGTCGCGTCGATGTAGTACCCCTGCACTGTTTTGGTGAGCACCCCCCGGTGGAATTGGGCGGTGGTGTTGGAGAGCTGTAGGGCGGTCGCGATGCCTCCCACGGCGCTGTCGGCGGATACACTGGCGAGTTCGGCGGCGGTTAGGCGGGCTTCAATGATGTGCGTGCGCAGGAGGGCTTCGATGAGGGGGTACGCTGGTTGGGTTAGGAGGATGTCGTAGATCGCTGAGGGGATCTTGGCCCATGCCTGTGAGTACCATGACATTGGGTTAGATTGATAGCATGTGAGAGGCTGGAGAGGCTGGAGAGGGGAGGGGAGGAAGGTACAGCGTTGGTCGGAGCCAGGAAAGTGTAGTTGCGCGTGTCGGTGTCGTAGTTGAACCGCTTCGTGAACATCGGGTTGATCTCCACGATGCCCCCCGTCATATTGTACACATGCGCGTACGTGGAGAGCTCGGGAATCTCGAGCAGAGTGTCCATCAGTGGGGCAGCCACTGCAACTTTGGTGAGGATTGCAGCTAGAGCTGCGATTGCTGGAAGGGATAGCATGGCTGCTGTAGAGGTGGCAAAAGATGGATGCTTCCAAGGACTGCATCTACATCCGACCCACAAGTCGGACTGATCAGCAGATATAAGATTCCAATCCAGGGGTATGAGAGTCTGACTGTGGAGGGGGTATATCTTCTTCCGTCCAACAACCTATGTTACTGTGATGGGTCCTACTGGTGGGTCACATCCCCGATGCGGCATGAGTGTGCGTTGGTCACATTAGTGGCGTCCTTCTCGGAGCTTAAAGCAAACAAGAGATCTCTCCAGAGAGAAATCTACTTGGCAGCTCTTAGGCGAGGTCTAAAACCGAGCGGGCCTCGGAGATAAAACTAGTTCGCCTCCACATGAAATTAGAGACACCTAAAGATCAAATTCATTCCTCATATGATCCATCCTCTATCTGGGTCTATTGGGGTTCTCGGCCTTGAATCGATCATGAGATCACCAATGGGCAGTTCGATGTAGCTGACAAAAAGCAAACATCGCAAGCATGTTACGCGTCATCTTATGCTGTCAGACATTAGTGCAGGCCCGATAAAGCAACCTCGCCCGTCGGCTCGCTTAGACGACACCCATCGGACTTCCGGTCGCGTCCAAGCCACCAACATTGCTAGAGATACCAAAGGTCCGTGAGACTGTCACCTCCTAGGTTGGCAAGGAAGCTGAGCCCCAGAGCATGCTTGAGTATCTATTCTTTCTCCTCAAACTCGATCTGGTAGCCTTGTTGGCCCAGAAGCTTCACAGCCAGAGATCCAGCCTCTGACTCGATCATGCTCTCAACCACACTTGCGGCGCACGTCATCATCTCAGCGCTGAGTACCTCGTCCTTCTCGGCCAGGATCTTGTTCAGCTGATGTGTCCCCGCAGCAGCCATGAAAAAATGACCCACGAGAAACGGCAGCTCGGTCTCGTCCTCGAGGTAGTCGGCCCCATGTACCCTGCGCAGATGGGGATCACACATGTCTCGGACCATACGAAGTAGCCGCCAGCAGTTCCTGTGTAAGGCCAGATAATCGAACGTGAATTCCGGCGCTTCGTTGTGAATCGTGTCTCGCAAGGTCTCAAGTAATTCGACGACGGTGAGTTGACAAGTGGAGCACTTCTTGGTAGGCGGCTTGCCTCTATCGGTGCGAGTGGCACGATGCTTTGAAACTGATCGATCTACTTGTTGATCATTGTTCCATGCAGCCGACTTCGCGAGAATTGTCTCGAGATCGGATTCAGTGAATCCGCTCGGCGTCAATCCTTCACAGTGTCGACTGAAGAACATCCGCGAGACGGGGGCGACAGGCTGCATGCGCCTTGGCCCGGCCTTTGATCCAGGTAGCCTAACGCTATGACGCCGGTTGCGAGCGAATGCTGCCGCGGAAAGGCCGATGGAGAGACTGTATTGCTTCAAATACTCGCTAGGCTGACAAGGCGGGGTACCGACGAAAATCTCATTGTGCCAATTCAGGGCAAGTTTCATGTCAGCCCAGTGCCTCGTCAGTAACCCTTCCTGCCGCAGAGCGTTGTAGAGATGGGCCGCGTACATAATCGCCCCCCATGTGCCCTGAAAAGCCATGGCGAAGTCCTGGAAGCGAGCCTTGATGTAGTATGTCAAAATCCCACAGAACAACAGGTGCCACTTCATAAGTTTGAAGCACTCAGAGGGCCTCCAGACATAATACTTCTCCTTTGCGGTCTGCGTGAAGTCGGAATCCACCCACGTGGAGATGAACTCGAGAAAACACTTGATCCGTGCGTCATATTGCTCGGGCCACGATCCAATGCGGAGGTGCGCAAAGAATTCCTGGTTTAGCTCGAGCGAGCTCTGAATAGATTTGGCTGTGTTGGTGAGATCCGCAAACCCACTTTCCACATCCCCCTCAAGGCAATGGTGAATGTCAAGAAAGATTTGACACGCGAACACCAGCCAGAGCGGAACCTGGTGCGTGTCGAACATCTTTCGTATCCCCCGCGTGATTTCGTCCTCGTGTGGCTCCGGCTGCGGGAGGAGGAGATGTAGATACACGAATTCGGAGAGTACCTCGTTTATGACCTTCATGTCCTCCTCAAATCTGTCCCATGCACTTTTCCGCGCCCTGTCGCTCGCCCTGTCGCAGGTGGGAAAGGACCTCTCTCTGCATGGAAGAAAGCTGTGTTTGTCGACGAGAGGATGGAAAGAATTCAGGTAGACAAAGGTGGGTATAAACAGTGACTCGGCAATGTTGTAGGTTCGGAAGTTAAAAGGGTCTCCGGGCCGCTCCCGGTGCATCGGATCCTCGCCGACCATATCAGTGATCCCCTCATAGAGACTGATCAACAGTGCGATCGACCCTCCATGTTCATTCAGAAGGCCCTGGATTTCCTCCTCCAAATGTCGGGCGAAGTCGATGGCACAATTTGTCATGAGGGACACCGCCACCAGATCGAACGTACGCAGTTTGTAGCCCTTCCAGGTTCGTGCGATGACGGCTCGGATCTTTTGCAGATCCTGAAGCAGCAGGCTAAAGGCAAAGAACACTTCTTCGTAGTCGTGGAGGCGCTCGGCTTCATAGTTGGCCTCTGGCTTTTCGGTTGCTGGGGCGGGGATAGCAACATCCGAGGCTTGCAAGAACGCCTCGGACGGCTCATGAACTTCTAGGCCTTCGAATCGATTCGCCAGGTTGTTGGCCTTGTAGTCTGTGACATTGTCAATCGAGGGGTCTTCTACATTCTCATCTGACATTCGAGGCTGTAGAGCCTGCCGGACGTGTTCCAGAATCCCGATAAAATACTCGTGTCGGTAGGAGGATTCTCGCGATTTGAGGTTTGTTGAGAGCTTGGCCCGGGCCTTGTTGCCATGCTCGCGTCGCACTGAGGTGGCTCGGTCAAGGACCGTCACAAAACTTGCTGGCACGTGAATCACCGGCTTTGTTGATGCAGCGATATATTCTGCGAGGTCGACGAAATCCTTCAAGGCGAGAATGTGTTTAGCAGCTTCAGATGTTGTCGATTGAGAGCCAGTGGATGCAGCCTTGGTGGCAGCCTCGCGAGCCAACTTCCTAGCTTTTCCTTTGAGACGCTTAGAAGGACCGGGAGTTGCAGCCGAGGGTGGGTTGTTGGTTGTAGAGGTTGGATTGGCTGTGGCTCCAAGTTTATCCACAGGGAAGCCACAGCTCTTGGCAGTAGCGACGAGCCATTACTGTGTCGGTGTCCGCTTTGTATTGCAGATAACTGCTTTTCATGATATTGGAGACCATGTCTGAAGTTTTTTCTTGTCTTTCTTGCTGCAGACAGAAATTTCATCATGTATGATGGAAAGTGATAAGTGATGAGTATGTGAGGGTGGAATTGTACTTCCTGTTAACGTAAACATAGATCCGTGAAAGCGGTGTATGCTATTCTGCCAGGATCAATCAGCAGGCGGTAAGCGGTGACACGCGGCGCCAAGCAGTGAATAGTCCAAGGCACGGCTGCCTCAGGACACAAGGCCCCAGGCACCAGGACACCCGCGGAGATCTTCGCTCGCGCCGCTCCGTTTCATCCTCCAACCACTCTCTCCCTTGGTGCAACACCAGTCTTCTTTAACTTCATCCAATTTCAACACAAACACCGCCATCATGCCACGCGCCGTCCGAGGTAATGATAATCGCCTCTTCTGTATCCAGCTCTCACGTCCCAACTAATCACCCCGTCCTCACAGGAGTCCTCATCGAATGCGACCCGTCCGTGAAAGCCATCATCCTGAAATACGACGAAGAGCGCCACGACTACATCGTTGAAGACCTCGATGACGACCGCCACCTCGTGATCAAAGAGAGTCAGCTGCAGAATCTCAAAATCCGACTGGGAAAGGTAGGAGATGCCGTCAGTTTTGTGTCGACCTGTCGTACTAATGGTCCTAGGAACTCGACGATAAGGTCATGCAGCCGGAGGAATCGGAGTCGGAGTGATCGTCCACCTGTTTGTACTCGGATATTGGAATGGTGCTTGCGGCTGGTCTGTGATGGTGTGAGGACGGGCATACTAGGAGGGGAGGGTCGGTTGGGCTTAAGGGTTCCAATTAGCACCCCACGCCAGATGCTTGTGCTGTGGTGCTTGTCGGAACCAGGATCACCGCAATGTCCCCATGGGAAGCAAAGAATGGGATAGCAGTGATCAATCTGGGAATTGTATACGGTCGGCTCCCTCCACCGACAGGGACCTGGCACCCGTGAGAGACACCAAGTCCCGGAGCCAGGCTGCACACGAATCCACAACAGCTGGCACTGTTGACTGTCACTTAAATTGCGATGCTTGGAAAGGTTTAGTCTCGCTTACGTCGGCCCCAATCTGCGACAGCTATCTGTGACGGGGGTATCTCCGCCATCGCCATCGAAGCATTGATCCTTGCCCCGGGGCTTTCCCTCAATTTGTGATTACTCGAAAATCATTAAAATGAGTGGACAACAAATCGGATAGGCCTCCAGTCATACTGCTAGCTGAAACCTCGTCGTCGAGTACCTGATGGACACGCGTTTGCTGGTGGTTCCAATCAACTTGATTCCCGGGACGATCAGCCAATATCATGAGCCTCACACGAAGACAAGCCGTCTATTCACATTCAGCGTTAGCGGTCTATAGTTCAGTATCAGGAACCCATCAATCGCAAGCTGGCAGTGGAAATAATCACAACTGCATTCATCCGTACTTTGCAACTTTTTCTGATATACTAACACAGTCGTCGACCCAAACTGGCATCTCCCATCAGGGAACAATAAAGTTTTTTTATGGTATGCCAATCTGTCGATGCTGACAGCTGTCGGGAGTTTGTCGATCACTTGACAGAAACGCGGAGCCACGCTAGTTAGTGTGACTGCCTGTCCGACTCTCAGCCGAAAGCTTAGCCTCATTCGCTGTATCTACGAGGCTTTCAGGATCTACATAGTGTACAACCACCCTCATGCCGCATTCATTTCCATCATAGAAACAAACCTCATGGACGTTTTGAGACGGCGATCTCGTTACAGAAGGAGTGGAGGAATAACATATCGTATAATATAGGTAAGTTACTGTGTACATCGCAGTCTATAGTCTAACTCGATATCACGAACCCCACACCACGCACCGCAGCCGGCCCGACTGCCCAATAAGCCAGCCGCTAAAGCAGTGGTAATCACCCCAAGCACCAACCCCGATAAGCCCGGCGATCCGATAACGGCACGCCATCGTGCGCCCACTTTACCCCACCACACGTACATCACCGCGCGGCGTATACAAAAACCCCCCACACCCACACCCCACCCTCAAACAATTTCTCCCATCATCACCCAAGCCAAAACCCCCAACAGCAATCCTCCTCTTAGGCAATCATCACCACAAAATCACACGAACGAAGAAAATGACCACCCCGGAGGAAACCCACCGCGCGACCTCCCTCCAAGAAGCCCAAGACCAAGCCCTCACGCTCTTCGCCGCCATCGAACCCCTCATCGTGCCCGGCATCACCGAAAAGGCCCTGAGCGACAGCATCCACCGCCTCGGCGTGGAGCATCACAACGTGCGCACCCACTGGCACAAGCGCCTCGTGCGCAGCGGGCCCAACACCCTGCGCCCCTTCGCCGACAACCCGCCGGACCGGACCCTCCTCGCCGACGACATCCTCGTCATCGACCTAGGCCCGGTGTTCGAAGAGTGGGAGGCGGATTTCGGCCGCACCTACGTTCTCGGCACTGATCCCGCCAAGCTGGCGCTCCGCGATGCACTAGAGGGGATCTGGGTCGCCGTGAAGGAGGAGTTCGATCGGCGGCCGGAGATCACCGGGGCGGAGTTGTATGCGATCGCAGAGCAGAAGGTCAAGGAGGCCGGGGAACGGGAGGGGTGGGGGTGGGTGTTTGGGGCGGAGATCGCGGGCCATATCGTCGGCAGCTTTCCGCATGAGCGCATCCCGAATGATCGCATCAGTCTGTATATTACCCCGGGCAATGGGGAGAGGATGCGGGGGAAGGGAAAGGGGGGGTGGGAGAGGCATTGGATCTTGGAGATTCATGTGCATGATAAGGAGCGCGGGTTTGGGGGGTTTTGTGAGCGGTTGTTGACCGTCGGCTGAACTTGGTGGGTGGGACTTGTGTTGTGCTTGGGTGGTTGGTGTGTTTATAGATAAAATGGATGAATGAACGGATATATGAACGACCCCTATGAGATGAGCCTCCTTGTATTCCACACTTGCATTGTATTGTCCGTAAAAAAGGTGACCCACCAGGAAGAAGGCGACGGTGGCTCAACCCGAACCATCCCGTCGCGACTGGAAGTCCCGACGAATGCCCGCCACCGACGGCGCCAAATACGCAGGAATCGGGCCGTGCCCTGTAAAGGTGTGGTCGGTGCAGGGATCGACACGCAACCCAGGGCCAGGCGGGAACAGTCCCATCAGATCGAGCTCGTCGAACATCTCCCGAAACTCCGCCTTGACCGCGTCCGAGAATCCGTCCTGGTCGTAGAACCACAGGGCCTCGCGGAACAGGCTCAGGATGGTGCTGTATGGCTTGATCATGTTGCGAGGGTGCAGGTCGACCTGGGAGCCCCCATTCTGGTACGCGGACAGGTGGTCGTTGTACCAGAACATGGCGATGTGCTTCAGCTCGGCGTGCCAGTAGGCCTGCGGCACGCCGGCGCGCGTCGCCAGGTCGCGGCTCAGGTTGATCAGCACCGTCTCCGCCCACGTCCGCTGCGTGTAGGTGACCACGGGGCAGTTCCAGAGCCGGCAGATGATGGGCTCACGCGATTCAATGTAGCAATGGCTGTTTTCGAGCTCGGTCCGGCAAGGCGGGGTGGAGAAGAACCAGAAGAGGTCCTCCTGCGGGTAGAGGAGGATCGTCAGGCCGTAGGCATCGTTAGGAGCGCCCGCACTGCCTGGCGGGGGGAAGGAGGGGATATCCTCATCAAGATCCATTGCATCTGGGTCCTGTGGCTGGGTCAGTTGTGTCTGGTCCACCTCCATCGCATCGGGGTTCGGTTGCTGGCCTTGAGCGCCCGCATCGGCTGGCAGAGCCGCATGGTAATGATCCGCCGAGCTGGGGATCTGGGCCAGTGAGCGGGTCAGCTGGCAGTCATCTCCGTAGGGACATGCGACCAGCCCATGGCGAGTGAGTACTTCGCAGGCTTGGTCGATGAGGTCTTCGGAAATGAGAAACTTGACGGGCATGTTCGTATGGCGGTTAGTGCTCACCAGCCAATACAGTTCGGCGACGGGGGTGTGAAAGTAGGCATACGGAATGCTCTCCTCTTCAAACCACTTCACCACGTTGTCGTCGGGGGACAGGGCCTTAAGTGGGATTGCCATGTTGTAGTCTGGATGCTTATGATGCGTTTATGGTAAGTTTCAACTTCAGGATGGGAGGGCGCTTTCTCTGCGAGAAAGCAGCCTGTCTTGCTTTTATAGATCTGTTCATAAGGTCCCAAGCGATGATCTTCGCTAGCCCTTTGTAGATGTCGGAACTTTCCTTCATTTTTGAATGTGCTCTTTGTCATATTCAGTAGCATGTTGCTGTAACAGTTCTCAGAGTAGGTTTCCATCCATTGATCCATTGATAGCAGAGGTCAGAAGAAAAACTTTGCGCCGTCAGCATCACTGCAATAGTCGTTTCCCCAAGAATCAAGTACCTCACTAGCCAGAGAGAAAGAACATCCAAACAAACAACCACCTTCCTTACACACTGGCCCTCAGCATAGACCCGACCCTGTCCAAGTGCAATGCTTGGCATCACTCTCAGGGCTGACCCTTAATTTCCAACCGACTGCTAAACATCCTCCCCACTACCAATCTCAATTGACATCGCACTCACACGCTCAACACCAATGAAAATAGCTCAAACCTCGGGCACAGCTCGTACCCTGAGGTAATGTGCCCCCCGTCCTTCTGCAAGGTGTCACCTGGCCCCGTGGCGCACCAATCCCGCCTCCGCATTCACTGCAACCACCCACGGTTCGCCTCTTAAGTCAACCGCATTGATCGCACCACGACGTCATGCAATCCGCTGCATCTTCATTGTTTCGATTTCCCCGCCTTACTTAAATCCCATCCCAACCCCAGATTCTGCACGACTGGATTCAACCCATCCGATGCAGCCTTGGTATACAACCTGAACAATCATCTATCAACCACGAGCCCACAATCTCAGAAAAATGGAATCCAACCCCCGCAAACTCTCCGGATCCTACCACCTCACCGGCGCGGACATTGTCGAATCGATCGACGATCTCGGCTCAGACGGCCGATGGGAGGAGCTGACCGCCAAGCGCGCGGCCCACCAGACCGCCGCCGCCGACATGCCGCAGGGCAGCGAGCGCACCGGCTTCACCAGTAATAAGGTGCCCGATCGGGCGCAGTCGTTCCGGCCGTACGATCCGAAGGGGGCGATGGGTATGCCTGTCTGTTTGCTGTCGTATTGACACTTTGGCTAATGTGGGTGGTCGGAATAGGCACCGAGCAGAGCGAGGATATTCACCCTCATGAGTAAACCGCTGGTGGCCGGGTACGGAGCGTCGCGTTCTGGTGCGTCTAGCATAGGGCTCTACAGATCCCGCGCAGGTGGAGATGCTGGTTTGGAAAATTGATGATTGATGATGTAGTATATGTGCGATGTGTGTAGTCAGATTAGTCAGTGAGATGTGAATGCTATTCGAATTCTGAGTTGTGTTGCGCTTGCTGGATATTGTTCATTCTGCTCGGAAAACCACTTGGTAAATCTCCTGATGCATCCCGCACCCGCCCTATGGAATGCCCGCGGTCATCCGACAAACGCAACACACAAAGATCCATGCCACCACAACATCAATCTTCTAGTAGATCATACTCCACCCGCTCCTTAATCAACTTACACAATGGTCGCACCCTCACCAATCTAGACCCCATCCTTGTCAACCCCAGGGCGTAGACAGGGAACGGATTCCCCAAAGCAGACTAGGGCAACCCTACTTTCCCCGCGGTAAACTCCACACTGGGGTGGAGCAATCCTCGCACCGTCCCCCCGAAATGGGCCAAATCTTCCGAGGCGCCGGAAAACCCCTGCCACCGCCCACGAAAAAGAGGGCGAGTATATAACCGCGCGCTTGAGGCTGGATTCTTTCCCAGTGCAGCCCCCGGTATCTTCAACAGCACAGCATACAATTACCCTGCCACTCCTCAATTGCATTCGCGCTTAAACAAACCTAGCACAAAACCGCCACCCGGCCATCACCATCAAGTTCAGCTCCAAGCACCGAAAAGAAATAAAGAAAATGTCCCTCATCATCCTCGGAGGCGGCATCATCGGCCTCTCGACGGCCTACTACGCCTCGCTCGCCGATCCGACCCGCAAAATCCAGATCGTCGACTCGGCCTCGGCCCTCTTCCAGTCCGCCTCGGGCTTCTCGGGCGGCTTCATCGCCAAGGACTGGTTCTCGGACGATGTCACCTCGCTCGCCGACCTCTCCTTCCGCCTGCACCAGTCCCTGGCGGATGCGCACGACGGCCGCAAGAAATGGGGCTACAGCGCTAGCCAGGCGTTCGGCGTGACGATGGACGAGCTCGACGCACACGGCCGGAAGACCGGCGGGAAGGTGCGCGGGGAGGACTGGTTGCTGTCGGGCACGAGTCGCGCGGAGGTGGCCAAGCAGTTTTCCCCGTCCTCTAGCGTCACCAGCAAGGGCAAAGGGGAGAAGGACGGGCGGTTGGATGGCAAGGGCACGCCGACGTGGATGAATCGCCCGGCGGAGTGCGTGGTGGAGGAGATCTCGAGTGACGCGGGGTGCGCGCAGGTCGACCCCAAGGCGCTGGTGGAGTGGTTGCTGGCGCAGTGTCGGGAGCGCCGGGTGGAGATCCTGCTGGATACCCGCGCGACGGGGTTCAAGGTGGACCGCGAGGGCCGGATCGAAGCGGTGACGGCTGAGCAGCGCATGTCGGTGCACAGCACCCCCGTCGAGATCTCGTTGCCATGCAAGGATGTCGTCATTGCCGCCGGGTGCTGGACCCCCCGCGTGTTCCAGACGCTGTTCAAGCGCAAGATGGCGGTCGGGATCAATGGCCTCGCCGGGTATAGTGTCATCGTGCGCTCGCCGCGGTATACCCGCTCCGTGGCGCAGAAGGACCATTCGATTTTCTGCGCCCCCGGCCCGCAGTGGGAATTTGCTCCGGAGATGCTCGGCCGGGTGAATCACGAGGGAGTCCCTGAGATTTACATCGCGGGGCTGAATAGTGATCAGATGCCGTTGCCGGAGGTGGCGGGCGAGATTCCGAAGTTGCGGGATCAGAAGCAGGTGGAGCGGTTGCGGGAGGTGGCCCGGCTGTTGACAGGCAGTGATGCATCGACGAAGAGTGATTTGGAGATTGTGAGTGAGGGCTTGTGTTTCAGGCCGGTTTCGACGACAGGCTCTCCGATTATCTCTCCAGTCACGGGGGCTATGAGCAGCGCTGGAGGCAGGGTGTATGTGGCCAGCGGACATGGCCCGTGGGGGATCACTCTGGCCTTGGGAACGGGTCAGGTCGTTTCCGAGCTCTTGACCGGCAAGACCCCCAGTGCTGATATCAGCAAGTTGGCGCTGACGCAGGATGTGTCTTTGCTGAGGAGTCAGTTGTAGATATTTGGTGTTTGTCTCATTAGCGTACTTTGCTTTTTCTGGTCTCTTAGCTCCTCTTCCTTCCTTTTCGTTTCTTTTCTTCCCCCTTCTTTCTTTTCCTTCTAAAAACACATATTGGCTGTGACAATAGGGTTTAGCCATTGTTATAGACAGGGCAAAAAGGAAAAGAACAAATCCCGTGGGATATATCTTTGTCACTCTAGTACCGTCAACCGCCATCTGTTAGACGATGTCCGTCAAGGGCTTGAGATCTGACGTCGTATAAATTTGGTTAATTGATATATTTGAAAGAACTAGCTACGGCTATGCGGTGTTTTCATATCCCCGCGTCACGCGACCCGGCGATATTAGGCCACACGCGCCGATATCATCGATTGGGTAACTCATGTTCCGGAAGTCATAGGAGGTAGAGTTGTCATATCACTGCGCTTCCAGCCATAACCCGATTCGTGCCCGAAACCTGAGGAAAGCAATCCTGAGCCAACTTAGCATCGAGAATATGGCCGTCCGGAAAGTTCATCAGAAGTCCCACCCAGAGAGATCGATGGAGGTCCTACGATGCCGCCAGCGGCTGTCGGTTGCGGATATGAACCTTCAGCGGCTTGGGCTCGAAGACTAACCACGCACGCTGCTTCAGCCAGGTCGTCGGATGCGCATCCTCCAGCTGTAGCTCAAAGGTCCAAAGCAAACGAGTGAGCAAAACGCGGGCCTCCGCAAGAAAGACTCTGGTTTTAAGGACAATTCCAGTTCAGTATATCCCACATGCAACAGAGTGACGGGAAAACCATAAATAACAGGGGGGCCACCCACTTGTATCCAATGCACTTTCTGGGCCCGAGGGAGAACGGCTGATAGGCGTTGAGGCAGTCGCGATTGAACGCCGGGTCATAACGAGGGTCTGTCGGAGGCAAGAATCGCTCCGGATGGAATTCTCGCGGTAGGTGAAAGTTCTCCGGGCGTGTCTGGATGTTCCACAAGCTCACTCCGACCACTGTGCCCGCGGGGACGAACTCGCCGTTCACCACCAGCCCTCCGTGGCCCACGACACGCGGCATGCTGCCCGGGGTGGGATGATGGAGGCGCAGGGCTTCGTCAAGCACAGCCCGCAGGTACGGCAGGGATGCGGTGGCAGACACGTCAATAGCGGCTGCCGAGTCAAACGGCGCCGCGCGAATCTCGGCCAGAAGTCGCCCGTACTGGATGGGGTGTCGCAGTAAAAGGTAAATGGCGGTGGTGATTGCAATGGTGGATAGTTGGGAGTTGGCGATAACGACCGCGAGTCCGTTGGTGAGAACCTCGCTTTTGGTGATACCTTTTCCATCCCCGTGTTCTGTGATTTTGTTAACCAGAGGAGTCATGAAGTCAGACCGTGTCGAGGGCGTCGACAGACGACGCTCAATGCGTTCCGTACTGAGGCGGGTGTTCTGGATGCGCTGCTGCGAGGTGATCCGAAGAAAGAAATACCACAGAATCTTGTCCAGCGGGGAGAGGCGAGTCAGACAGTTGCGGACGGTGCTGAACTGGGCATGAAGAAAGAACCGCTGGATCCAATCCGGACCCCCCTCGCTGCTTTGCAACGCCCGCGGCGCTTCTCCCCATGTTAACTCTGAGATGATATCGAAGGTGGCGTATCCGACCAGCCGCTGAATGTCAACCGGACTTCCAGCTCGAGCCTCGGTAGCGAGCCGGGCTATGAATTGGCTCGCGTGATCTTCGATGATTACCGCCTGCCCCCGAAGAGCCTTGTCAGAGAAAGCATTCACGAAGGCTGCGCGAATGCGTCGATGGTCTTCGCCCATAGCCGTGAAGAGGGAGTCGGCCCCGTTCAAGGGAGGTGTCAGGCTGTGCGGGTCTTTGTTCAACTGTGGTCGGGCGTTGTAGATTTCTGGCCAGACACCCGGGGAGATGTAGGTAAGCTCATCGGGCGCTATACGCACCACGGGGCCATATCGGTCATGGAACCGGTCCAGCGCGAGCCAGAGATCTCCCCTCATGACATGGTATGCCCACGGTGCTCGAGTAATGGCCCACATGGTCGGGCCGGGATATTTGGACAAGGGATGGAATTTGAGCAGATATATTGACCGCACCTGGCCGACGATTGATCAGAACTTTAGATTTACAGATTGCCTCCTTGATCGTCATTGGTGCCCATTCACCAACGTACCAAAATGTAGACAGGGAGAACGAGGAGTGGCACTAGCCATCTCCAGCTCAAATGGGATGGATATTGAACTTCAAATGATTGCATCATGGCAGCTCGATACATATTGTTTTTCGATCGGAAAAAACGAAGTGGAAGAATTGGGCAAATGGAAGTTCTCATAGACTGCAACGAAAAGCAAGGAGAAGGGGAAGACGGTGAGAAAGAGAGAAAGGAGATGGGCGGGGGGTCAATTAGGGCTAGCCGAACGGGGTGTCCACCAGATACCAATCGGGCCATTTTGACAGAAAAACCGGCCGGAGAGAGGGAGACTACGCATCCATGGTGCGAAATAGAGTAAAAGAAATTCTCCGAGGCGTGGCCAACAATGATACAATAGGCGCAATCCGAGTTAACCTTAAAGAGGCTCTGCCGCCTCTGCCGTTCTCCAGTGACCGATAGATAGGTAGCTAGCTATTGATTCGTCTGACCGCATCGACGGCCCCAACCTCCCCAACCTCTAACGTTTACCCCCCTCCTACAACACCATGACCATCTCCGTGGGTGTCTTTTGCCCACAGAGCCGTGCTCCCTCGGCGTCATACTTGCAGTCCATACGGCAATTTATTCTTACCCACCCCATTCTCCAATGTCTGGTAACAGAGATCGTCACATTGAAGGAGGTGCAGACATTGCTCGCGATGAAGAACGCGGCAATCAACCGCCTCCCCCGGGCGTTGCAATATACGGATCACCTCATCCAGTGGTTGGTGGCCGGGGACGGAGATGCTGCTGCGTCCACGCAGTCCGGTATCGTCGCCTTGCCCCGACTTGTCATCCTCCAGGTCGCCCAATACTTCCAGTACTTGGAGAGCCAGCAGATCACGCATGCAGACGTCATCGCCCAGGTCCGAACTGCAAGCGGCCTGCAGGGCTACTGTGGAGGCCTCCCCGCGGCCCTTGCACTCTCGTGTGCGGCCAGCGAAACAGAGGTTGGCCCGTTGATCTGCACCGCCATCCGTCTCGCGTATGCCATCGGACTGTACGCAGAGCTGGGTGATGACTCCACAGTGCCTGGGGCGACGACGATCGTGGTTCGCCTGAAGTCGGAAGGCCAAGCTGAAGACCTGGTGCGACACTGTCGTCATGTAAGTGAATCCAGAATGATAGAGAGAGAGAAAGGTTGACTGATACGAAGGCTCCTCTGCCTATCTCCGACCCGCCATAGACCTACATTTCCGCCATCACAGACCCTCGGTCAGTTAGCCTAGTAGGTCCGGTTGACGAACTGGCGGCACTCCAGGAGCGCGCATCGGACCTGGGACTGCTCGTGCAAGCCATGGACCTACGAGGCAAGACGCACAATCCGGAAAATATGGACCTGGCGCGGGACCTGGTCGCGGTCTGCCGTGAGTCGGAAATGCTGCAACTCCCGGGACCAGAGCATCTGAAGAGCCCAGTTCGATCGAATCGGACGGGAGACTTCATTACTGGTAGAGGATCATTGAGCGAGGAAATTGTTCAGACAGTGCTTGCCTCCAGATGCGAGTGGTATCAGCTGCTGTGCAATGTCGCAAGGGGGCTCCAGGAGACCGGAACACCCACGCACCAAATCGTTTCCTTCGGCGTGGGCGACGTAGTCCCCCTGATGCCATTTAACAAGCTAGGGCTGAGGATTGAGAAGCAGGACTGGGGGGCGCCGAAGAGAAGGCTTGGTCCGGAGAAGTTGCCGTCCTACCCGGACGACGCTATAGCCATTGTTGGCGCGTCCTGTCGGCTTCCTGGAGCGAATACCATGGAGGAATTATGGGGGGTTCTGTCCGAGGGGCAGGATCGCCACGAGATGCTCCCAAGGACCCGGTTTGATCTTCATGGTGCCTTCCGCGCGCGCCAGAGCGGCCCTTTTGCTGCTCAGCGGCAGTTCTACGGAAACTTCCTGGACGGGATCGATCAGTTCGACCATGCTTTCTTCGGGATTAGCAAGAGGGAGATGGCCAACATCGACCCTCAGCAACGGGTGTTGCTGGAGCTGGCCTATGAAGCAATGGAGTCCAGTGGCTACCTAAAGTCCCACCGGCGCGACCGCGGCGATTCAGTGGGATGCTTCATTGGGGCCAGTTTCGTGGAATATCTGGACAATACGAACGCTCATGCGCCGACGGCATACACGTCGACCGGCACGATCCGGGCCTTTCTTTGTGGGCGGCTGAGCTATTACTTCGGATGGAGGGGTCCCGCCGAGGTAATCGACACGGCGTGCTCTTCATCCTTGGTCGCCATTAATCGTGCAGTGAAGGCGATCCAGAGGGGCGAATGTTCCATCGCGCTAACTGGAGGTATTAACCTCATCACTGGGATAAACAACTTCCTTGACCTGGCGCGGGCGGGGTTCCTGAGCCCTACCGGGCAATGCAAACCCTTTGACGAACGGGCAGATGGGTATTGCCGCGCTGAAGGGGCCGGGCTAGTCGTGCTGAAACCACTCAAACAAGCGCTTATGGATAAGGATCGTGTCATGGCTGTCATCCCCGGGGCAGCGACCAACCAGGGGGGGTTGTCGTGCGGGATTACGGTGCCAGAGCCCAAGGCCCAGGTTGAGCTTTACCGTGCCGTCCTGGACCAAGCTCGCCTGGACCCAGCCCAGATTACCTATGTGGAAGCCCACGGGACAGGAACCCAGGCGGGGCATCCCCTGGAGGTTCAAAGCATCCGATCAGTGCTGGGAGGCTCGACACGAAGCACTGACCTGACGATTGGCTCGGTGAAAGGCAACATCGGTCATTGTGAGACCGCCGCCGGAGTGGCAGGGTTACTGAAGGTTATCTGCATGCTGGAGCGTCGCTCGCTCGTCCCACAAGCCAGTCACACGTCCTGGAACCCTACGATCCCGGCCCTGGCACCTGACCGGATGCGCCTTTGCAGCACACTACAGCCCTGGACGGCTCCCCTTCTCGCAGCCCTCGTAAACTCCTACGGGGCGGCTGGTTCAAATGCGGCCATCGTATGCTGCGAGTCTCCACGCCAACCCTCGCCGCAGCAGCAGCAGCAGGAACAGATCCAGAGGCGTTGGCGATACCCAGTCATCTGCAGTGCGTCGACAGAGTCGAGTCTGCGACGCTACCAGCAGGCACTTGCCGCGTTTCTGCGGAGAACGAGCCCCCCACCCGCCATGGCAGCCGTGGCATACACCTTGTCCGAGAAGCGGCCACTGCACAAATACGCCAGCATCGTTGAGTCGGAGGGTGTGGAGGATCTCGCCCGCCAACTGGCAGATGGCGCCCCGACGCCCATCATCGAGCGCACCTCGTCGCCGGCTCCTATTGTTCTCGTATTCGGTGGCCAGAGTAGGAAAACCATTGGGCTGAGGCAGGATCTGTACCAGCACTGCGTGGCCTTCCGCGCCTACCTTGACCTCTGCAACGACACCCTCCAAGAGCTGGGATATCCATCTATTTTACCTGCAGTCTTCGACACGACTGAGCTGTCCGACATCGTTGTTCTCCAGACGGGGTTCGTTTCGGTTCAGTATGCAAGCGCCCTCACCTGGATTGATGCAGGAGTCGAGGTCACGGGGTTGCTTGGGCATAGTCTGGGCGAGCTCACATGCTTGGCTGTCAGCGGCATGTTATCTCTCCGAGACATGCTGCGACTCGTAGCAGGGCGCGCTACCTCGATGAAGGTCAGATGGGGGGGCGACAGGGGGAAGATGAGTGCAGTCTTCGCCAGCCTAGAGGAGGTCAAGGCCCTGATTGAGGGCCAGCCTCTGGAAATTGCCTGCTACAACGCGGAGAACAGTTACGTGGTCTCGGGGGAGACTCGAGCAATGGCGAACCTCCAAGCTCGGCTGCTCGCCTCCCCCGTCAGGTCCGTGGCGGTCGATACGAGCCACGGATTCCATTCCATGCTCGTGGAACCAGTTGTCGATGACCTGAATAGACTCGGTGAGTCCCTGCATTGGAGCGCCCCGCAGATCCCGGTGTACCCGTGTTCTCGTGAGGCTCGAGATACGCCGCTGCCATACAATCCGGGGGCACACGCACGCGAACCGGTCTTCTTCGCACATGCCGTGCGGCGGATTGAAGCCCGGCTAGGCGCCTGTATCTGGCTGGAAGCCGGAATGGACACCCCCATCATCCAAATGACGAAAAGAGCGGCCGCGAGCCAAACGCATGCCTTCTGCGCCATGGCGACCAAAGACGGGGTGCAAGGGTTGGATGCGCTCTCGCACACGGTAGCCAGCCTCTGGTCTCTGTCCGTGCCGGTCACTCACTGGCCCTTCTTGCAGCCACATGACCAGGTTTGGCTACCCCCATATCAGTTTGAGGCGACCCGGGGATGGTTGCATAATGTCGATCGAGCAGCCGAGATCCAGCAGCAGCTCGACCAGCACACCACAGCAGCAGCGAGGGAAGACGCAAGGCACGCAAAGGAAGATGCGATACCTCGATCAAAACTCGTATCCTTATTACCCTTGACCGGGGATCGCACTGAAGACCAAGTGCGACACTTCAGAATCGACGGGATGAGCGAGCGTTTCCGGAGGATTGTGTCGGGACATGCAGTGAGGCAACGACCGTTGTGTCCGGCATCCGTCTACCTCGAGTGTGTTGCGATGGCACTCGACCTGATTGGGGAGCAAGAGGGGGGCCGGCCCATGAAGGGCACTGAATGGGCGTTCGAGGACCTCAGTATCCAGGCCCCGCTTGCAACCGGTGCGGAAATGATCGAGCTCACCCTCGAAGAGAGCCCGGATGCGGCTGGCCGTCGGTACATGTTCTTGGTGCGGAGCCGCAGCCAGCCGCTCTCGAATAACCACACTTTGCATGCCAAAGGCTGCGTTACTCGGGAGCGTTCCTCCAACCTGCAGCCAGTAGGCCGGCTGCTAGGCCGACACGTCCAGGCACTGCAGGACTCGGGTGACGTGGAACGAATGCAGGCCAAACGCGCGTACGGGCTATTCTCCCGCGTGGTCACGTATGCGGAGTTTCTCCGAGGTATATCCCAGATTCGCATCCGAGGCAGCGAAGGTCTAGCAACGGTGATCATCCCGGGGGGCCAGCCTGGACTGGACGAGAGCACAGCTATAGCACGATGCGATGCGGTCAGCCTGGACAACTTCATCCAGGTGGTTGGGCTTCTGATCAACACTAGCGAGCTGGTTGGCGTCGACGAGGTGATGGTTTGCACGGGTATCGACAATTGTACTCTGTCCAAAGAGTGTGATTTGCCCCTTGGGGATGGCGATCAACGCGATCCGGCCCAAGTCTATGTATCATACAACGACTGTGGCTCCGGACAGGCCGTGGGTGATGTCTTTGCCTTTTCATCCCGGGGAACGCTGATCGCTGCCATCACTGGCTGTCACTTCACGAAGATGGCAATCAGTCGACTGGAGCGACTCCTCGATACTGTCAATCGCACTACTGCCGCCGCTGATCAAGCACGCGCGGTGGCGCCTGTGGCGGTGGGCGGAAGGCCCATGACAGACAGCAGCGAAGCAGAGATGCCGATGACGCCAGATCTGAGCAGTGAGACGGGCCCAGAGGAGAACGAAGATGAGGACGAGGATGAGCAATCTCCACCGGACGTTCGAGCAATGCTAGAGTCCTACACCGGCGCCACCGCGTCCAAGATCCTCAACACGGCCGTACTCACGGATCTGGGTCTCGATTCGCTCGCAGCCGTCGAGATGCTTGGGGAGCTAGCCGCCTTCTGTGATATCACCCTGGACAGTCAGGACCTTTTGACTACCACCGTCCAAGAACTGGAAACGCAAATCGGGCGCGCGCATAGCGCTAGGCGATCACCGCCGCGCAGGCACCCACCAAGGGCCACAGCCGAGAAGCCATGCACGGCAGCCGCAAGACCCTCGAGAGACATGACGAGAGGGGTGAAGGCGATTGCCCAGGTCATGCAGGTCATCTCAGAACTGACTGGGATCGAGGTCGATCAGGTCCAGCATGATATGACACTGGAAAAGCTTGGAGTGGACTCGCTTGCGCTGGTGGAGGTGGTCGCAGCTGTATCCGATGCAGCGGCCCTCCCTATTTCAAGCGAGGGAATTGTCCTCAGCTCCACCATTGCCGATTTGCTTGCCCTTCTCCCAAGAGTCGGTCAAGAGGCATCACAACCAGAGCCTCCTTCCAACACCTGCCCTGCGGTTACTGCCTTGCTTCCACCCACACCAACCCCAATTCGCCCCTCGCTGGAACAGGGCCCCTCGTGGCCCCGAGTACGGCTTGATCCTATGCGCGGCATGCGATACAGCAATGCGAAGCTAGCAAATCATGCCGCTCGGCGGGGCTATACGTCCTACTGGGACGATGTTGCCGTTCGCCAAGATCAACAGACTCTGGCGTACGTCGTGCAGGCTTTTGCAACCCTTGGGGTGGACCTGCAGAGCATGAGGCCAGGAGAAGCGATTCCACACATCGAAGTTCCGCCACAGTACCGGAGGCTGCTTCAGCGACTATGGGCCATAGTAATGAAACACGGAGCAGTCGCCCAGGGAGGCCAGGGCGTCCGATCTCGCGGGCCCAAAGAAGATCGTATTCCGCCGCCGGACCATCTACATGCGGAATTTGTAGCCCAATACCCCACGTATGCCATCGAGGCCCGCCTGCTGGCCTTGACTGCCCCCCACCTGGCTACCGCCCTCCAAGGGAGTGTCGACCCTGTCAAGCTACTTTTTGGGTCACCGGCGGCCAGTCAGATCATGGAGGAATACTATGGCTGTTCTCCCATGCTCTCGACCGCGACTGATCAAATGGTCGACTTTGTTACGGGGTGCATAGGCGGTTCTCAACCGAAGGCTGCTGTCTTCCGCATACTGGAAGTCGGAGCCGGCACTGGGGGCACCACGGTTCGTCTTGTCGAAGCACTGGCCAAATGTGGCGTTGCGGTCCACTACACCTTCACCGACATTTCGGCCAGCATGGTCGCCAAAGCCCGCAGGCGATTTGCGCACGTGGAATGGATGCATTTTGAGAGGCTCGACCTTGAACAAGCCTCACTTCCCCATATGAGGGGGAGTTTTGACATGGTAATCGGCACGAACTGCGTGCATGCCACCCGGAACAGGGTACTCGCAACCAGTCGCATCCGAGAGATGTTAGCCCCCGAGGGGCTTATTGTCCTGTCGGAGGTGACCCGCATCATCGACTGGTATGACCTGGTCTTTGGCCTGCTCGATGGCTGGTGGTTAGCCGCGGATGAAGGGCTCGCCTATCCGCTCCAGGCAGCCAGCGAGTGGGTGAAATCCCTGCATCGGGCGGGATTTGGCTCTGTCTTGGTCTCTGAGGGCCGCAGCGAGGATTTGAACACCCAGCAGCTGCTGGTGGGTTGCAAGGCATGTGACATGGCAGGCCCTGACGATGAACAGAGTCCCATCCTCCGCGCCCCAGCCACAACTCAGATGGCGATGATCAAGGAGTCTGTTACCTACAAGATCGTGCACGGGGTGGAGCTCGAGGCGGACGTCTTCTTACCCGCTCCTTCCATGGCCGATGTCAACTTGGAGAATCCAATGGCCATTGCCCTCATGGTGCACGGCGGGGGGCACATGACGCTCTCCCGTCAATCGGTGCGTCCTGCACAGACCGCGTATCTTCTTGCCAATGGGTTTGTGCCGGTCAGTATCGATTATCGACTCTGTCCCGAGATCAACATCATCGACGGCGCGATGGCGGATGTGCGAGACGCGTATCTCTGGGCGCGCCACACGCTGCCAAAGTGGACCATGCTCCGTCAGCGAGGCATTCAGCTGGATGCCGAGCGTATTGTTCTAGTTGGTTGGTCGACGGGGGGCCAGCTCGCCATGTCGACTGCATGGACAGTGGCTGCGGCCGGGGAACGGCTGCCCTCCGCCATCCTGTCCTTCTATTCCCCATGCGACTTCCTTTCGACGGCGGACGTCTTTGCCAGCGCACAGCTACCGCCGGTGCATGCATTCACCGACCAGCAGGTTCTGGAAATCCCGCTGGCAAGGAATCCGTTAACCCAGCACGAAGTCAATGACTTCGCGAGTGGCCGCCAGACGGGCTCCTTGGGATGGCTAAAGCCCGGAGACCCTCGGTCGGAACTCCTGCTTTCGATGTGCCGGCAGGACAAGGGATATGGACTTTCACTCATGCTGAATGGGGGGAGATCCGGGGCAGAGCGGCGGCAGCACAGACGGGTGGGCGACTTGATCGCCGAGGGATGGCCAAGTAACGAGCGGCAAGCGTGGATTTGTCCGACTGCACAACTGATGGCCGGCAACTACCGGGTCCCTACATTCATCATTCATGGGCGTCAAGATGAAGTTGCCCGGTTCGAATCGGCCGAGCGCTTCCACCAAGAGCTCCAGCGACAGGAAATTGCCTCGGGAATGCTACAGTTGGAGCATGCCCATCACATCTACGACCTGCACCTGAAGCCTGGAATGGTGGAATGGGATGAACAGGTGGCCCCGGGGTATAACTTCCTGTTCAATGTTGTGGGATAGTTGGGCCAGCAGCAGCACGGTCTCATTAGCTTTTAACTGCAGGCGCGAGGTGGAGTGAACCATATGAATCGCGGAGAAAGTTGATGTCACTGCAGGGATGCTAACCACGCTGGAATAAAAGGTCAAAGACTGGTCAAATTACTCCGCGCGGCAGTGATTCAGGACTGTGACTGAAACAATGAGGCTTGGGTGGCGACAAGGGGGTTTGGAGATGCGAGATCGATTTGCTTGTTTTCCCCCCACCCCCAAAAGCCGCCTAGTCTGTTGTCCAATTGAAAGGTACAGAGGGAATTGGTTTTCTTGTTTTCTATTCTCCTTTGTGTGCTTTCAGCTTCCCCCTTGAGCAGGGGATCGGCTCTGATTACGCTACTCGTGATTAGGTGGAGAATGAGCCCGCAGCTTTGCGGACTTTCATGTACGGAATGCAGAGTACACAAACAATCTTCTGGGCGCATATGCTTACTTCGGTTCACACCTTGGGTACTGGAGAGTTCCAAGCATCATGGAAAGATTGACGGTATGGTACGTTACACCACAGTACTGTGTACTGTACTCTAGTTTTGGATATTCAGCATACTAACAACTGGTACAAACCTATACAACCTCATTCCATCATCCAGGTCAGATGTACAGTTACATTCACCTATTAATGACCAAGGTACGTGCTGGACAGTAACTACTGTACTGTGTACTACTAGGCATCTACTTTTGACCCGCTCGCCCCGCCCTGAATGCACACGCCTCTAGATTTCAGCCCTAACCTGACTGGTCGGGATGGGGTATGATAAGCACTGGGCAGGGAACAGTAGTCCTGGTGGCTTACCCCCCTAGAACCTCCCTACCCCACCTCAATTGTTTGCTGCTGCGTCCTGTCGTCCATTCTTGGACAGATACTCCTGGGTAGTTAGTGTTGACCGGGTTCAAGGTTGAGGGGCAATTTCTAGAGATATAGCGCGAACTTTGTCTGGTACACATTTAGTCCGCAATTATCCAATGTAGTTGTGGTTGTTTTGAACCCACTTGAACAGGTCCTGTGGAATTATGTATCTTCGGGCCCAACCCCACTTCCCCTTTTCTTAGTCTTAGGGCCTTGCTGCCCGATTCCACCCGCATAAAGTACTTCTCTACATATATAGTGTATCACCCGTTGCTATCCATTGAACGTATGAGCTATCAAGGCAAGGCTTCCTGATTCTACTCGAATTCCCCTTGGGGCCATGCAATCTCCCACCGAGTGGAAGTAGCCAGATTTAAGCAGAAAGGATACCCCGCCAACCATGGAGTCGATCCAAGTGCAAAAATACTCCTTTACGCAGCTAGACAAGGTTCGTCCAGAATATCTCCTTGATCATTTTGCGCGGAGACTGAAATTCTTTGATCTTGATCACGGCGGGTGCAGCTTGGTGAAGGAACTTACGCAACTGTGCGTTGATCCTCAATCTCCCCACAATGCTTGACAATATAGGACCACTTCACCAACCTGTGCGTGGACTGAACAGGTTTACAAAGGACGCAATCGGCAGACAGGGGAAATCGTAGCTCTGAAACAGATTCATCTAGATCCGGAGGAAGGGGCACCGTCAACAGCCATCCGCGAGATTTCCTTGATGAAGGAACTCAATCACGAAAACATTCTCAACCTGTACGATGTCATCCAGAGCGATGACCAACTGATTCTCGTATTTGAGTTCATGGACCAAGATCTGAAAAAGTACATGGATACTCGAGGTCTGCAAGGCAGGCTCGATCAGTCCACTATCAAGTCGTTCATCCACCAAGTGCTATGCGGAACCGCATTCTGCCACCAGAATCGCATCATTCACCGGGACCTGAAGCCACAGAACCTGTTGATCAGTAGCTCCGGTCAGCTCAAGCTGGCGGACTTTGGCCTGGCTCGCGCGATTGGAGTGCCGGTCAACACCTTCTCCAACGAAGTCGTCACGTTGTGGTATCGGGCGCCCGACGTGCTCTTGGGAAGCAGGGCATATAGTACGAACATCGATTTGTGGTCGGTCGGCTGCATCATGGCTGAGTTGTATCTCGGCCGGCCACTCTTTCCCGGGACCTCCAATGACAACCAACTCCAGTTGATCTTCCGTCTCCTGGGCACCCCGACGGAAGAGTCATGGCCGGGCGTCTCCCGGCTGCCCGAGTATAGGCCCAACCTCTACCCGCAAGGAACGAGGACGGACATCCGACTGGTGTTCGGGCAGATCGACGAGCCGGCTCTGGACCTTCTGCAGAAAATGCTTCGATTGTGCCCTGAGCAGCGCATCAGCGCTGCGCAAGCCCTCCTGCACCCCTGGTTCCGTTGATCTCGGGCTCCGCCATGGCTCTTATATTGCTTCTACACCGTCGGCAGGTTTTACTACGTATGTATCACGAAATCGGGCCCGGATCTTGTAAACGCGTTGAAATTGCCAAAGACTAGGAATGAAACAGAGCTCTCAGACTCCGTGGGCCTCTTTTCCCTGTCCATGTGTCTCTAGAAGTGAACTATTCCCCCTTGATGCTGACTTCGAGGATACTCTCAGAATCTGGCTCCAGAGTCCAGATCTTGTCGATCTTCAGCCCGGCGGAATCAATAAGCTCCGCCCACTGCCGCTCTGTTCGTTCCACGGCGGCGTTGACTGCCATCACGAAGAAGTCGGAGTGCGTGGCAAAGGAGCAGGGCCCTTCCAGAGGGATGCTGAATTCGTTGATCAGGATCTTCGAATAACCGGGCTTCATGGCATCTCGAATGTGTCCCAGAATGATGCGGCATCGATCGTCATCCCAGTCATGCAAGACGCTGCGGAAGTAATATGCACGGGCTCCTGCAGCGCAGGTCAAGTCAGTGGGCCAGTCAGTTCCACCGGGCGCAGTTTTCCCACCACGACGACAGCAGGGCGAGAAAATCTCTTACCTTTGATTGGCTGCTCGGTGAAGAAATCGTGCGCCATGGCCTCCATGCCATCGACCAGCTCCACGCGCTCGATGGTTGCCGGACGGTCCTGCAGTACCATGCGGCCAGGGATATTGGGGTACCGCTGTTTGACGGCTTTGAGCTCATGACCCACGCTGCCTCCGACATCCACCAGGAGAACTGCGTTCGGATCCTGCTTGTCGATTTCAGGGACCAATTCCTGCTCGAGCGGATAGAAGTCCAGCCACTGGACATGGCCCACGCGCTGGGTGGTCATGAAAAGGTGAAACGAATGGAGCAGATCGGGCTGGGTCGCGAGCCAGTCGAAATATTTGACCCCGTTGAATTGCTTGTTAAAGGGCATCGCAGCGGGATCGGTCGGATTCTGATACTTGGTCTCCTTCAAAAACCTGGGGATGGTCATCCAGCCAGCGTGAATCACGTTGTGGCTTTATTGTTGGATCCCCCGTCGACACAGGTGAGCAGAGGAATTGAGATGCTTTTTGGGAGGGTGGAGGGATGGAGTGGTCCAGGCAATTGGCGGATGGCATGAACTCACAATAGATCGAGTCCCGAGATAGCCTTCACAGTAGTCATAGCCCGAGTCACTTTGTTGGGGCTGTAGACCTCCAACCCCGCCTCGTCGACAGCGTGGATCGACGTAAGACCTCTCATGATGCGTGCTAGCAGGGTCTCGTTGGCACCTGTAGCCACTGCCAAGTCATGGAGGGAGACCGGCTGCTCGCTGGCAACCACCTTCTGGAGAATGCCGGAATCGACTCCAACCTTCAACAGCAGGGGATCGATAACCTATGAGTGTGTAGAGCCACGGGCCGTCAGAGACTGATTACATCAGGGTGCCAGAGAGAATGGAATACTCCAGTCTTACCCCATAGAGGTATTGCTCTACTATCTGGCCCTCATTCTGGAGGGCAGAAGTCAATTTCTGGCTCGTAGCCAGGAGCTCCCGGCGCGCCTGGCGGCATCGCGCACTATCCGGGTCAAAACTGGCCAGCTCCTCCAACAATCTTCCAGTCTCTGTCACCCTCGATAGCAGGGATTTGACTTCAGGGTCCATGGTGATGAGAGCGTGGATCGAAATGAAAGGAGTAAAGCCTAACCCAGTCTTATATAAAGCCTCTTAACAAGATCCAGGCTGTTGTGAGTGCTTCACTTCTTTCGCCTTCACGCATCCCCCCCCTCTGCTTCCTCGACCCTGGTCATTTTATGGGGGCTATTGCATCATGGCTTTCTTCATGCCAACACCTATATGTCGGGGGGTTTTGGAGGATTTTGTCCCGAGCTAATTCCCCCTTCGAGGATTAGCTGCATCAGCAGTATGGCGTGCCTCTGTTGAGATTACCCCACCTCAGCGCTCTCCGACCGGTGGGTTTTTGACTGTGTTTCACAACCTACCTATGCCCTCGGGGGTATTGTCTCTTTTCTTGAATCTTTTCTTTTTCTCTCTTTCTGTCTGGTCTCAACCTTTCCGTTCCCTCCGGTACTAGGCAGGAGAAAGCCTCTGTCCAGGTCAGCCGCCATTGCCACTTTCCCTCACATCCTGAGTTACTGTTCTTTTGGACCCCAAGTAGCTGCCACCATGCTGTCTTCCGACCCGACAGCCATGGAATTCGAGGCCAGCTTCCCCAGCTGCAAATGCCGGCCCGGGCTTACTGAGATTCAGGCCGATCTTCAACATCCCTCACTTGATGTGGTGCAGATTCTCAATGCCGTGGAAGCGCTGCGGAGCTCATTCAGCGCCGCGTCACAGTGTTGGAACAGATGCACGCAGTCGGCGCCCTACACCTCCCAACTCATCCAGTCTCTAATGCGCCTGCTAGACTTCCTTGAAGTTCTCCGCAGAGCTCTTCTCTCCCCTTCGGAGGACCACATGCCGCAATTGGGCGAAGGCAGTCGGGAGGAAAGGTCGCTCGCGGCTCTTCGCGTGACGGGCTACAATCGAATGGCCAAAGTCAATCGTTATCCCCTGAATGAGGAGGAGAAGAGGCTCCTCGTGCAGGCAATCCTCCGCGAGTCGCTGCTCGCGCTCAACACGATTGCCAAGAAGGTACATCACGAGCTCATGTCGATGCAACCACGAACCCGGACATCTTCCATCGAGGTCAACAGTGCTCTACCCTCCTCCTCCTCCTCCCCTCCTTCTTCCACGTCGTCGTCGTCATCATCTTCGTCTTCCACCTTTTACAACCCGCAGACCACATGCACCCTATACAAGAACTTTATCACCAGAACTTACTCGGCCCTCGCGACGTGTAATTCTGACGGAGAGGTCCGCCACCAAGCACTTGCGTGACCCGGGAGTGGATGAGGGAGGGAAGAGAGCGCGTTCAAGGCCCCGAAATGAGCCCACGGAAGCAGGAGGACCAGGCCTCCGTCGATTTCCGCAGCAAGATATGATATTGCCTCTCATGATGCAAGACGCGAGTGCCTTTGTACTACATAGCTGGATCATACCATGGACACCAATCAGTCAGGAAAAACACCCCGCGAGAGTAAAGAGAAACATCGGCGTGTTCTGCGTTCCATTCATCGCGATCCTCAAGCTGGGCTAGCAACGTAGGAACATAGGGGAACATCGCGACCGTAGGCACTGACTAAGGCTCGGTTGGGGGCCCTGTCTGTATGATCTGCTCAAAAGGGGCGCTCAAAAGCTCCAGCGTGGTGCCCCAGGGGTCCTGGCAGTACACGACCCGGTCGCCGGAAGGCATGGTCACCGGGAGTCCTATCCTCGTACCGCCTGCTTCCAGTACCTGCTGGCCCACCTCCTCCGGGTCGGGCACCGTCAGGGAGATATGAAACACGCCGCAACGGGTGTAGTCGATCCCTTGTTGCTCCGGCGCACGGTGAGCCGGTTCGATGAACTCGAACAACTCCAGTCCACCACCGTTCCGGCCAGTCCCGAGCCAGGCGATCTTGAACTCCTGGAGTTTACTGTCGAAAATCTTGAAGGATGAAGGCTTCAGGAAGCAGCTCGCGCTTGACGTGCAACACGGGCTTCAGAAGCCGATAGTGAAGCACCGAGGTGTACCAGGCGACGGCGGCCTCGCAGTCGGGCACCGAAATTCCCGCATGGTTGAATTCGTAGATACTGCCGGGCTACCGTTTTCCAGCAAGTGGCAGGCACCGTCAGCAAAGCAAACCCTATGCGTTGCGCGAGAGGAAGAGGACGCAGGGTCTTTTCTCACCGTCTCCGTGCTGGAACGTGCCGGGGTGTTATTCAGTGGGTGCATGTTGAGAACGAGGCTAACGAAGGCCAGGTAAGGAACAGCAAGTTTGAATCAAGCGGGCGCGAGCCGGCTGCAGTGCCCTAGATTATATCCACGCTTGGGCCGCCTGGAGAAAAGGGGGAGGGGGGATCAAGCGTGCTCGGGTGGTTTGCAGAATCCCCCCGACGCCCACAAGTCGCCGGAAACAGGCACCTCTACATGACCCCGGCTTTGGTGAGACTCTTGGGGCTGACATTTTTTTCAATCCAGCACTGAGCATAGAGGAGGGGTTGGTTGTTTTTGAGACGATACAATCATGTCCCGGTTCATCGATCACAGTCGCGACTTGGCCATTCCGCTAGGCTCTCTGGTCCTCGTCACCGGCATCTCGGGAATGATCGCGATTCACATCGCGGACGAAGCGCTCCGAGCCGGATTCCGCGTGCGCGGGACGGTGCGAACAGCTGCCCGGGCACATGAAGTGCGCTCTTTGCTTCCATCGCCCGACCTGGAGATTGTCCTTGTGCCAGAGATGGGGGCCAAGGGTGCATACGATGCGGCGTTGGCCGACGTGGCGGCGGTCATCCACTGCGCCTCCATCACCAACTTCTCTCCAGATGCGGACTCGGTCATTCCCACCACGGTAAACGCTCTGGTAGGCCTTCTGGAAGGCGCGCTGTTGCACCCCAGCGTGAAACGGGTCGTGTTCACCTCGACCAGCGGGGCGGCGTCGAAGCCCCGGCCTGGGGTGCAATTCGCAATCAACCGCGAGTCCTGGAATCAAGAGGCGGTAGAGCTTGTGGAGAGAGTGGCGTCCGAGGAGGAACGGAGCAAGATGGGGTTTGAGTGGGGGTACCAGGTGTACGTGGCCTCTAAGGTGAAGGCCGAGCGAGCTGCCTGGCGCTTCGTGGCGGAGCGGAACCCACCGTTTGTGGTCAATGTCATCAACCCAGCGATGAACTGGGGCAAAGTCATGGGGTCCATGGGGGTCAGTGGTCTACATGTGCAGAGTGTCCTCAACGGTCGGATCCCGCCTATTCCATCAGGTATGTTGTGGTTGCCGCTCTCGCTTCCCATCTTGATTTGACCAATGGACCCATAGTGTACATGGTCGATACCATTGATGACGCGCGGATCCATATTGCGGCGGCAATCGATGTGACGGTGGCTAACGAGCGGATCTTCGCCTGCGACGAACCCTTCACCTGGGGCCGTGTGGTTGACATAATCCAGAGGGTCTTGCCCGACGCCATGCTGCCTAGGGCCGACCCCGGTCAATTGGTGGACCTGAGTACAGTGGACAACACACTGGGGGCCCGTCTCTTGACCAGATGGTGGGGGCAGGCTGGCTACAAAGGACTAGAACAAACCGTACGGGAGACGGTGGAAATGTGCTTAGAACGGGGTAGCTACTCGCATTAACGAACCCCTTGCTTGTCCCCCAGAATGGTGGGGAAAATCAAACTTCTGGCTAATCAGGAGACCGATGTTCACTACGCTCTGTTGTCCTATGCTTAAGTATGTTTCTACAAGAATGATCTAGGAGCCATTTGACCCTCTGACGCGATCTGTCGTGCTGAGTTCAAGGTTAGCCGCCGGCCCTGGGCTACGCCATCGGGCTGCGGCAATAGCATCGCAGGGGGTGATGAGGAGTGGGAGATAGAAACAGATGCCACGTACAAGGAATTATCAAGTCAGATCATATGTTTCTCAGGAGCGTAGATGAATGATCAATTTAGGCTAAATAAGGCTATCGGAGAGAAACTCGCTGAGAACCGCCTGGGTGAGCTATAGATGTAACATCCCTCTCTCAGCGACTTGAGGCTCATTCGATCAATCAACTCCTCAGTCAGTCAAGAAGCCCGCTGGTTCAGCCGCGGGAACAATTTCAATCCAGCCTCACGCGTCTCCTGAGCAAAAACGGCATCCGTAGCCGCGAGCTGAACCTGCATGACATCGGCGTGCTCCCAGGGATAGTCACTTCCGAACAACACATGGCCTGGTTTGGCAAATTCTTTGAGCAGTCGCAGCTGAGGCTCATAACCGCTAAATGCGACATCGATATACAAGGCCCGGGCTTCGTCGATGAACTCTTCCTCCGTCTTGTCCCCGATGCGCAGCCGACTGCACAGCACTGCGGCTCGATTGATCACATAGGGCAGCGTGCCACCCGCATGAGATAAAATTATTTTGCATTGGGCATAGTCGCGGATGATGTTGGTGGTGATCAGATGAACGGCGGTCCTGGTTGTCTCATGGGTCCAGTCCAACACCGGCGCTGCGAGGAGACGTGGCTCTTCGATCGGGGCCATGCCCTCAAACCCTGGATGAATAAGAATTACCGCCTGATGGCGGTTCAACTCGGCCCATACATCGAGAAACTCAGGGTGGCCTAGGTACTTCCCGGCGTAGCTGGTAAAGATGACGACGCCATCCGCGTGCAGCTCCTCGAAGGCGTATCTAATCTCCGCAATGCAGGCGCCCGGTTGGTCGAGCGGTGGCAATGTTGCGAAGAATCCAATGCGGTCCGGATGACTGTCACGGAATTGGGCTGTATATTCATTGATCTCACGGCAGATGGGTCCCACCTGCCCTGGGTCGCTCACGTAGGGATGAATTGGATGGCCGAGGGAGAGGATCGCCGTAGCAATATTGCAGTCATCTAGCGACCGCAAAGTACCCTCTTTGGTCCAAGTTGGAAGCTTTAATCCCCGTGCCTTCTCAATATTGGCATTCCATACTGGATGTTATATGAACTTTTGTCAGCTTCAGTGCCGTTTCTGATTTTCTGTCGCTGTCACGGGGGGGGCGGGGGTGGGGGGAGGGGAAGGAAGGGAGGGGTGTCCATTACACTCGGTGAACTTGGGCGGAATCAGATGGTGATGTGTGTCGATGGTACCCATGGTGAACTTCGGGAAAGCTAACAATGAGCGATATGCCAAACCTGCTCACTTGAAACCATATCCCAACAGCTCACTATATAGAGTGGCTCTGTACTATAGCTGAGAGCCGATGAAGGCCGGCAGCGGCTAGGGTTCCAATCTCCGGGTGGTTTTTCGGATGGTTTCCGGCTTTCGCGCGGTGCCTTTTTCCCCCTTCTTTATTCTCGGCGCTTTTCTTTCCTCGGCCAGTGCCTGTACATAAAAGACCTAGTCACTTTTAGCGCTGGTTATCTGAAATGCGGCAAGCCAGTAGCAATCGATAATATGGCTTTCAACGTCCTTCTTGGGCTGTCTTCTGCGGTGAGTTGTGTCATTGGTTCGATTGCACAAGTTTTTCAATACACACACACACACACACACACACACACACACACAACGCTAAGGTTCAACAGTACGTAGTCTATTATGCTCTTTACGCCACTTACATGCTCTGGCTAAGCCCCTTGGCCTCAGTGCCAGGGCCGGCAACACGAAAGTTCTCCTATCTTCCGTGCGCCTTCCAAAGCTTTCGCGGTCGAGAGGCTCAGGCTGTGCGCGATCTACATGGCACATATGGTCCAGTCGTCCGGGTCAGCCCCGAGATGGTTTCCTTCATAGGGCCAACGGCGTGGAAGGAGATCTACGGGCATATCGGGACGAGGAAGTTCAAGAAATCCGGGTATCGTCGCCTGCGGCCAGGTGTGCCTGACCTTCTGACAGCTAACGGCCCCGAACACGCTCGCCAGCGCGCTGCCCTTAATCGAGCCTTTGCGGAACGAGCATTGCGCGAGCAAGAGCATTACTTTCAGGACCACATTGATCTTTTGCTGAAGCGTCTGGATCAACGCTGCGCCGCCGCCGAGACGGTCGATATGGTGCAGTGGGTCGAATTCCTTGCTTTCGACCTCATTGGAACGCTGGCCTTCAGCAGCTCCTTCCAATGCTTGGAGAGCCAGCAGTATCATCCGTGGGTGACGCTGCTGATGAACTTCTTCAAATCAACACACTACTTCCTGACTGCCCGCATGCTGGGTCTCTTCTTCCCTCTCGCGCTCGCCTTGGGCCCGATCCGACACCTGCTAAAGGGCCAGGAACACCTTCGGCGGAGCTACGCTAAAGTGCAAGAGAGACTAGCCATGCCACCGGATGAAGGGCGCCATGACCTCTGGACCTACATCTCGCGGCAAAACACCGAGAAGGCAGGGGCAATGTCGGTGGAGGAGATGGAGGTCAACGCCGCTCTGGTCATCCCCGCTGGGAGCGATACCATTGCGACGGCCGTCTCCGGGTGTCTGTACCTCCTGCTCCGCAATCCGCGGCCCCTGGTCCGGCTGCAGGCCGAACTCACGACGGCCTTTGCATCCGAGTCCGAGATTACCATGGCCCGCGTCGCCCGCCTCCCGTATTTAAGCGCTGTCATTGAAGAAGCGCTACGAATGTATCCCCCCTTGTCCTCCGACCTCCGCCGAGAGGTGCCCGCCGGGGGCGCCTCGGTGGCGGGTCAGTTCCTCCCCGGGGGTACCATCATCAGCGTCTATGCGCTCGCGGCATGCTATCATCGGGATAACTTCACGCGTCCCGAAGACTTCACGCCGGAACGCTGGCTGCCGACGCCGGAGCGTCCGGAATGGGCGCGGAACGATCATCTCGAAGCCTCGCAGCCATTCTCGGTGGGTCCTCGGAACTGCATCGGCATGGGGCTGGCGTATGCGGAGATGAAGCTGATTCTTGCCCGGCTCCTGAGTCGCTTCGATTTCGACCTCTTGGACGATGGGTTTGCCATTGAGAAGCAGCGGGTATACATCATGTGGGAAAAGCCCCCGCTGCATGTCAAGCTACGTAGGAGAAATGACCCGGTCACGGAGTTATCTTAAGGCTTCGATACTGTGAACTTTCTGCAGAATGTTCAATAGAGAAGAGAAGCAGTAAGAGATGATAAAACATAAAGGAAATACATCAGGCGTATGAGAAATCAATCAGAACTTATATGACGACAGGTTGAAAGTAAATCAGGCATAGGGTTGGGTTTGCCAGCAAAGTGCCTACTTGACACCCAGCGAAGAATCTTGAAATCCACAACCATGACCGCATGGTCAATACACACCACGCGCCAGAAGGTGCCACTTGTGCTCGCTACTAGAAGCGCCTCATTTTTTGCGTGGTGAGCTCACTTATTTGGTTGATTATCTCGAAGTCTAGAGCCTGGTTTTCAATCGACTATTCAATACTGACTACTCGGGCTACTAATTCGGAGGTCACTTAGCATCCCTGGTAAACTGGAGATGCAGCCTCTTCCAGACTCATCCATCTACAGCAAGTATTGAAATCTCAGCCGATTCAACTGGTCGCGCAGAGCTTCCTTTTGACTACCAGAAGATTTTGCTCCCGATACCTTACGATAGAACCGGGCACCCGATCTGCTCTGGGTGATTCCAAACGAAACGTTCCCTGGTTGGAAGCGTCGATCTCCGTCGTAGACAAGACCGCACCATTTGGGTTGTCAATGCTCGAATCATACACTGGGGGCTGGCCTGGCCCGATTGAAAAAGTAAGCGAGGACCAAGCCTCGGGATCAAGGCATATATATGCACTGTCAACCGAGGATGTAACCCATCTGTGCTTTGCTGTGATCATTCCTGCCGAGCATTGGCCCCAGAAAAACGACAACAGCCAAGGTCAGTCTGTTATCTCGGGGATCACATCAAATCAACACGTAGCACAGATTCTGTGGCTCGTATTCGAGCATTTGCAACGGCACCAGCCCTAATCACAACCCCCGACTGAGTTAAAAGGAGCATCCCCTCCCTGGGACGATGGCCACTACCCTCTGGCATATCACCACGGCTCACATTACAATACTGCCTCACAGCACGAACACCCTCAAATGACAATGCCGACTTCCCTGATTACCGGTGGAACGGGCTTCATTGGCCTGTACGTCGTCAAGCTCCTCCTCGAGAAGGGAGAAGCCGTCCACAGCACCGTCCGCAGTCTCAAGAACGCCGCCAAATGCAAGCCGCTTCTCGATCTCCAAGCCCAGTATCCAGGCAGACTTTCTCTTTTTGAAGCTGATCTTCTCCGGGATGGCTCCTTCCGCCCCGCGATGGAGGGCTGCAGCGTTGTCTACCACATTGCATCGCCATTTCTGGCACCCCCTCAAATCAAAAATGGTCTGAAGGAATGCGTTGAGCCCGCTCTGCAGGGCACTCGCAACGTGCTGGAGTCGGTGAACCAATGCGAGAGCGTGCACCGCGTTGTCCTGACCTCTTCAAGTAAGCCAGCCAGCTCCCCACCTCGTCTATTTGCTATCTAACACGCAGTAAACCTCGGCAGTCGCAGCAATGTACAGCGACAGCATCGAAGTCGCCCAGATGAAAGACAGCACTCTCACCGAAGCCTACTGGAATGACACCGCTACCGAGACCAACAATCCCTACCACTACTCTAAAGTCGCCGCTGAACGGGAAGCCTGGAAGCTGCACGACGGCCAGTTCCACAAACGATGGGATCTCGTCGTCATCAACCCAGGCCTTACCCTGGGGCCCCCTCTCACCACAGAGTCCACCTCGGGTAGCTTGTTCACAATCGAGAACATCTTTTCCGGCCAGAACAGACAGGGCACACCCGAGCTGTACTACCCCGTCGTCGACGTGCGGGACGTCGCGGCAGCCCACGTCAAGGCCGGGACGAGCAAGACGGCCAACGGTCGGTATCTGATTGCGGGCGTTCGCACGGTGGGGTTGCTGGAGATGGCGGAGATCGTGCGGCCGATTCATAAGGATCCCAAGGTGTTGCCGACGCGCAATCTGCCGAAGCTCATGGTGTATCTGGCGGGGCCATTCATCGGGGTGTCGCGGAGCTGGGTGTCGAGGAACATCGGGATTGATTTCAAGGTGGATAATGGTCGGAGCGTGAGAGAGCTGGGAATGAAGTATTTACCCGTCGAGCAGGTCGTAAAGGATCAGTATGAGGCGTGGGTGAGGATGAAGGGGCACCATTAGGGCCAGCTTCGAAGTGTGGTATCACTTCCAAGTCAGGAGAATATCATTCCGTTCTTAGTAAGTATGCACGAACTCTGAAGACATAGTTCCTAGGAGAGATTTATACTCGCTAGGCTCTATGCCCATATAGCTCCATTAAGCGAAATAGAGAATCAGGCCGGCCTCAAACATACTCTGGTCCCGTTGCGCGAACACACCGTCAGCGTCAACGACTCCTCCCACGGGCCCAGATCCCGACTCTCCAGCCCCTCAAACTCCTGCGCCAGACGAACCGTCACATATGCCACCTCCGTCAACGCATACTGCTGCCCGATGCAGATCCGTGGTCCCCCGTTGAATGGCAGGTACTCCCATCGCGGCTGCAGCCGCCCATCCTCCCACCGTTCCGGCCGGTAGACCTCCGCGTCGTCACCATAGAAGTCCTTCCGCCGATGCATGGCATACACGTTATACGCGACAATTGTATCCTTGGGTACAAAGACCGGCGAGAGCCCATCCTTACCACCTCCAACCGGCAAAACCGTATCCCTCACCGCGACGCGATCGTTCATCGGGACGACGGGGTGTAGTCGGAGCGCTAGCATCACAAAGCATCAGCATCAGACCACCTTTCCTAACCACCCACCAAAAGGAAGAACACTCACATTCATTAACACAATACCTCAAATACCTCAACCCCCTCAGCTCCTCATACGAGGGCAACCGCCCCTCCAACTTCGTCACCACCTCCTGCCTCAATTTCGCCCACACCTCGGGATGTTTCGCCAGCATGAAGAACATGTTACTCAGCAGACTAGCCGTTGTATCCCTGCCCGCGAGGAGCACATTCATCAGCTCATCCAATATCCGACGCTTATCACTCGTGCGTGACGCCAACTCATGCGAGAAGATATACTTCTCGTTCTTCCTGCCACTACCGCCACCACCGCCATCCTGAACAGCACGAACCGCCTCCTCAACGAACGGCATCGCAAACTCCCGACAAACGCGATTACACCGCTCCGCTTTCTGATCGTAGTAAAACCGCCCAAACGGCCCCAGGATCGCGCGCACCGTCATCGCCTCCTGGGCATAGTTGAACGCCTCCGCGAAATCCAGCTCGCTGCGCTGCATCTTCAGACTGCCGACCGACTGCCCAAACAGAAAGTCCGTGGCCGAGTCGATCGTGTACCGGAAGAACAAGTCCTGGAGGTCGACGGCCGTGGCCCCGTCGCGGGGGAGGTGCGCTAGCAGGGAGGGGATCAGCGATTCGAAGGCGGCGAGGTCGGCGACCTGGTCCTTGGTGAAACTGGGGCGGATGAGCGCGCGCGAGGCGGCCCAGTGCGCGCCGTCGGTGTCGAAGATCCCTTGCCCCAGTAAGGGCTGGAAGATGGGGAGGCGGTGGGCCAGCCCGTAGTCTTTGAAGCGGGTGGAGAGGATCGTTTTGATGTTCTCGGGCTCGATGGTGACGATTGTGTATTTCAGGAGGCGGCGCGAGGCGAAGGTGTTTCCGTGGAGTTGGAAGCGCTGTGTGATGGATTCCAGGGCTTTGTGGCGCTTCACGGTGGTGATGCCTCGGTAGATCTCGTCCAGGCCGAGGATGGGGTCTTTGTTGTTGTAGTGGGTGATGGGTTGGCAGCCATGCTGGTGGGCGAACCGGCGGCGGATGTGTGCGCGGTGGATGCGGGTGAGGAGGAGGATGCTGGTCAGGGTGAGGAGGAGGAGACAGAGGGCTATGCGGGTAGGCGGGACGTTGAGGAGGGACTCCATGCTGGGCTTGGAATGGTGCCAAGGGGAGGAGGGAGTTATGGTGCTGGGCAGATGAGATGGTGAAAGTACTTATCATTATGACTAGAGCAGGGTTCGGAGACTATTGCTGTCTCGACTGGTGATCATGCAGGGGGAGTCAGTCGACGCTACGAGGATATGCAGGGATGTCGATTTGGAGTTTCGACGTCGGCCGGGGATGCAGGCCACCGAAGTGAGATGTGATTGACAACCTAAAGGCTACACGCAGACAATGGATCTGTGCTGAACATCATGGCCATCCTCTTGGTTACGTTCAGATAACCACTACTGGGGGAAGGGCTAACACGTAGCAGGTTGGAAGTAAACTCCGGACAAATTCATTATCAAGCGCTTTCGTAGGGATCAAGAGGCGGCCTCTTGATCCACATTCAAATACAACTTGCTTGGCAGATAGACAAAAGTGAAGGCTCAGTTGGAAAGGTGCTTTACGGGAAATATTCTAATAAAGTCTCGGAATCGGACGTCCGTTTTCTTGGCAGATCAGCTGCGTTCGAAATGTGTAACGTGAGGTACTGAACAGGGTGAGTTGCATCCTCCATTGGCAGAGATTATCTTGTCGCCCGAATGTGACACATTGGGCCAACTGTGATGACCTCGACGTCATAGCAGCAAGGCCATCTCGCATTTCAGTGAAGAAGGCTCGCTCTATCACCCAATAGCCTGTTAGAGGCTTGTGGTGACTGTGGTAAGCACAGATATTCATGATGCGAGCCGGCCCCTGCGAGTATAAACTACCTGGAGTCTATGTGCCGAGGCAATGGGCGTCTGAGGGTTAGGGCTTGAACAAACCCTCGAGACATAAGAACACACCTGCATCGCGCCAGCAGCTGGTCTGATAGGTAAATTGGCGATTTTTTATAGTAGGGCAATGTCAAGAAGTATTATTGATACTAATATTGGTATAAACCACGCTCCTGCAATCGGAATGATTAGCAAGATACAATGCTGTTGAGTAGAGCTTCTCTAGGATGAGCAACATTTGGTCGGCGGGATATCTGTAAGCTTTGCCATTGGGATGAAAGGGAGCCTTTCTTGATAGTGATCCACTATGTATGGATGGGGAGGCTGAGGGAGATCTGTGTGAT